ATGCACAGATGTAATTAATATCTTTAAATGTTATAAATAGCAAGATGATATTTCTATTATTCCTTCACCAAAGATGGGTACATAGGCTGTTTCAACTGTGATTGCTCTTTGGCCATATATGCAAGTGTTCCTCCTAAGAGCTAACAGTAAGGTATAGACATTATCTTAAACTCTGAACCTAAATTCCATCCAAATAACTCTTCCTATTTGCTGTTCCATCAACAAATACATCTGAGCACACATTTTCTACCCTTTGCTAATCTGAAGGCTTTTTTTTTTTTTTTGAGACAGGGTTTCTCTGTATTGTTTTGGAGGTTGTCCTGGAACTCCACGAGATCTGTCTGTCTCTGCTTCCCAAGTGCTGGGATTAAAGGCGTGCACCACCAATGTGCCCGGCCCTTAATCTAGAATTCAAAAACTGGAACTTGCTTTGTAGACTAGGCTGGCCTTAAACTCACAGAGATCCTGTTTCTGCCTACCGAGTTTTCTATGACATTGTGAGATCTGAAAGATCATAGCTTTAAAGGACAAAAGGAATGTGTAGTCTGAAAATAGATTCCTGAGTCCAGAAATCAGAGGTTCCACACCAGGGTTCAAAATGCACTTCACACCATTTCTTTTTCTTTCTTTTGTTTTTTTGTGGGGGGTGAATGGTAGGGGTTAGGGACGGAGTAAATGTTTTGATTGTGAGCCTAGCCTTTAATGGCTGACTTATCTCTTCAGCCCCAGAAATATTTTAATATGGCAGGACTTAAACTCTGGTGTCCAAACTATCTCACACAATAAAAAGAAATATGTATATAAACTAAGCTTCAATTCCACATAAAATTTGGCACAACTTTTCATAATTTTCATGTCACTTTTCCCCCCCTTTTTAGATTCTCAAAATAGGGTTTCACTCTGTTGCCCTGACTGTCCTGAAACTCACTCTGTAAATCAGGTTGGCCCCAAATTCCCAGAGACCCACCTGCCCCGCCTCCTGGGTATGGTACTAAAGGTGTGCAGCACCACTGCCCAGCTTTCTTTTGCTCATCCCGCAACTATATAAGAAACAAGAAAACTATTCTTAGTTTATAAACTGAATTTTTAAAAAGGAGCCTTAATTTGGTGACCAACTCTTTGTATTAACCGACTCTATATTCTTCCTGGACTATCACCACAGCCATCAACAGTCAAGCTATAACTGCCTTCTTGCACCCTTACCTGTGCCTCTTATAAGAACTACCAATAGGAAGGTGTATTTTTAATAAAACTCGAGGGACTACCTAGTTTCAGTATTGTTAAACTACAAATGTTCAATGAAAAGCAACTTGGTTGGTATAAGTAATACTTTTCATTTGTCTTTGAGTCTAAGTCTTGCTAAATAGCCCTGGCTGGTCTGGAACCTTTGACAATCCTCAAAACACTCCATATACCTGAATTCCAGCTAGCTATATGGGTAAATCTACATACATATAAGACTATAAGATACAATGCAAGCAGGTAGCAGATTGTACACACTCCAAATATTCCTTCTGTGGTATTTCTTGTAGATTTTGGGGTATAGAGGTTGACCAAGTGCTGTACAATGGAATGCTGTATCCACAGATAGCCAACTTCCAACTCTTAGCGCTGGTGCTCGGTTATTCCTGTTCTTTTTCTAAAGACAGGACCTCACCGTATGAACTCACTAGGTAGACTCGGTTGTCCTTGAACTCACAGAACTCCTCCTGCCTCTGCCTCCCAAGTGCTGGGATTAAAGGAATGTGGCACCATGGCCAGCCATTGATCTTGCTCTTGGCCAGGAAAATAAATGAGTCTAGTCCTGGCTATATAATGAAATATAATACAGTCACTAAAATTTAAAATCATTATACAAAAAAAAGTATACCTAATGGCTAAATTCTAGACTAAATGTGTAGCTTTAAACATAAAAAAACTGTATCACAAAACTTGAAAGTAACAGCTAACATTTATTTGTCTATGTGATAGGTACTGTTTAAACCTTGTTTTATTTACAATAAATATCCAACCACTAGTTCAACCAATAGCAAATTAATACTCACCATGTTTTCTTTTTTGGAACGACTATTTCTTCAATCCCTTATAAGATAAAAATAAAAATAATCAGTTTTCTAACATTACAAAGAAATACAAGGTGTTTGCTTCTCTTTTTAAATAAAGAACATTTCCATAGTTTTAAAAATACCTGTTTCATTTGTTCCTTCAGCCTTTGAGAGGGATGCGCTTCCAGGATAAAATCTGCATTAAAATAAAAATAGCAATAAAGCCTCTAATGTTAATACTGCTCTTTAAGGAGGTTCTCAGCTCATCTCCTCCTGCATGCACACATTTTGAGCTACATTTTCTAGTTATCACATATCAAACAGTCTAGATTGTATATCTCACATTTTGATCAAAACATCAAGTTTAATGCAAGAAATGACAGACAGTTAAGATTGATCTAGTCATTTATTTGTGACCTTAGGAATTAAACCAGAGCCTAACCTATGCTAAGTCAAGCTCTGGAACATCAACTAAGCTATAGACTTAACCAAGATTTTTTTTTTTTTTTTTGGTTTTTCGAGACAGGGTTTCTCTGTATTGTTTTGGAGGCTGTCGGTCCAGCCTGGCCTCGAACTCACAGAGATCTGCCTGCCTCTGCCTCCAGAGTGCTGGGATTAAAGGCGTGTGCCACCACCGCCCGGCCCAAGATTTTTTTTTTAAGCATGCAATCTCTTCACAAAATAATCAACTGGAAAATTGAATGGCACTGGAACAATCTGAACAGCTGGTTTGAAATATACAGAAATTAACCTTAAAAAAAAAGTAAGACAAGGATCAATTCAGTGAGTTGTTGCTTTTAAGAGACAGAACCCAGACAGCAAGCAAAGGCCTACCCCACTCAAAGTAATTAAAACAAAGCTAAGATCACCCATGGCCTTATAATCTACCACTTTTACCAACCAAAAATGCACCAACACAAGGCTTTTAACTGCTTTATTCTCAGAGGCCCCCATTTTCCCAATATAGAAATATTGGCCCATTGCTAGCCTGGTTTACAGAGTTCCAGGTCAGGGCTTATCTTATTCATGGATAACAACACATTTATTGGTATCCTATCAACAAAGATAATGAGTAGTTAATGTTATCTTGTGTCTTCCTTTTTTTTTTTGGTTTTTCGAGACAAGTGTTTCTCTGCATTGTTTTGGATTCTCTCCTAGAATTTGCTCGGTAGACCAGGATGGTCTCGAACTCACAGAGATCCGCCTGCTTCTTCCTCCCGAGTGCTGGGATTAAAGGCGTGCGCCACCAACGCCCGGCCTGTGTCTTCCATTCTTAAAGGGCATCAGAATTACTCATAAAATTTATATGTGACCACAGAGGAAACTATGTCATCGATTGGTACCTGGTTTAAGGTATCATTTTACTTAAGCTTTTATTATTTTTGTATGGCTGTATATACCATGTTACGAGTGGCCATCGGAACATCTGTGGAGTTGGCTCTCTCCTTCTCTTTCCAACTTTACATGGGCTCCCTCATCAAACTATAATGGAGGCTTGTATGACAAGGAATCTCTAGATACTGGGCCATCTTCCTGTCCTTCAGGCAAGTTTTCAAGCAATACCTCTCTGTGACAGAGGCATTTTAGAAGTGTATCAGCTCTTCTAAGTTAATGTTGTCAAATGACATCATGAAGAGATCATCTTATGTTGAGTGAAGTAAGTAGCCATCAGGCAAAGAACACAGGTAGAAATGGATAAAGTAGGTACAAAATAAAATATATACAGTAAGTTACATATCGTTCATTCCCTATAGTTCTTTCAGACAGTTATTGATAGTTAGAATTCACTTTAGATAAGTTGTCTACTATCATACAACTGAAGAAAAGGCAAACACTGAATATAAAAGTTTTTCTTGGGTTGCCCATTTTAACTCAGTAGTAGAGAGGGTAATTAGCACGACTGAAGCCTAGGGAAAAAAAAGTAAAACTGGGTTTCAAGTTTTAATACACCTAACTGCCTCATACTTCCACCAGGGCACTGTTTGAAGGCTGTAAAAGAAACTACATAAATATCTGCAACACTGTTGTAACTATCACAAGCTCCAAAGAGACGGGTCAAGCATTTTAAGGCTTTTCTGTTTTTACTAAACCCTAATTTTCTCAGCTCAAAGTTTTCATAACATTCGGTTCACAGTGGCGATGACAGCCTACCCTTTATTTGGGGAAAATCTATCCCTGCGCCCTTTCCTCCTGGCAGAGTTAAGAGTGAATATAATATGGCAGGCGGTTTAAAGAAATATGTGAAGGGGCTTGAAGAAGCACTCGCGGAAATGTAAACGTCACAAAAAACAGCGTCCTACTTTAAAGTGTAATTTCAACTTTATAGGGTATTACAACCAACCAATAAAAATCTCCCGAAAGAACACACGCCGTTCGAAACTTATCTCAAAACTCCGCCGCCTCGTGCTACCCTTTGAGGGCTCGCGGCCTCCGGCATGCGGGTACCGTTGCACAGCACCTAGTTCCACAGCTCTCGAGGAAATGCGAGACCAAGCTGACCCCGGGTCTTCTTACCTGCAGCAGGGCTTCGCTTCACAGACACCTGCCCCGCGAGCGGTCTGCAGGAAGGTAGGCCCCGCGCGGAAACGCAGCCAGCGTGCGGACACCGCCGCCGCCGCCGTCGCCATCTTTGGGCTAATCGCAGTGCACCTTGGGAACGCCCTCCGCCTACAAGGTCAAGAGGGGCGGGGTAGGCGTGGAGCATCTCAGCTCGAAAGGAGGTGGTTACAAGCTCATGTTTGGCAAGGATACCAGCCGAAGGCTCAAAACACATGATTTATCTCAAATAAATTTACCTAAAATAGGATTTCTAATGTCTCAGTTGTAATTTTGCTTTCCAACGGAAATAGGGTATTGAGACTATTTTCTTCCACTCCCACCCCACCCCGAAAGCAAAAGTGAGCTCGTCCAAGTCAACAAGTCAGGCGGCGATTCTCGCACGCAAGCGCAGTGGAAAACACATGGTAGCCGCACGCTGCTAGGTTTGAGTGGATTTCGCCGGAGCTAGCGGGACCTTCTCTCTGGGTGACTGATCTCAAAACTGACTCGAACGATGCTGGCCTCCAAGCACACGCCATGGAGGCGGCTTCAGGGCATTTCCTTCGGAATGTATTCGGCTGAGGAGCTCAAGTAAGGAGTTGGTGGGATGCGTGTAAGAGCATGGTTGTGGCAGCGGGCGCCGGGAACTACGATTCCCAGAAGGCCTCGCGCCGACCGTGTCTGCGGGTCCTGCAGCCAGCCGCCTGTTTGCTGGGACTGGGGGTGTCCTGCCTTGCTGCATCTTCATCCGTTCATCTTCCTCGCTAACGAACCACTTTTATGTCATTTATGCTCTCATGTCCGCCACGCGCTTAGATCCCCTCGTCCAAGCAATGATGAACCCTTAAGTCTCAGATTAAGGCCTTGTTCTACTTTATGAAGTTAGGAAGTCGCGGGAGCGCTTCTTTAACCCTCATTTTGATCACGATAACATTTGATCACTATTAATGCGTCTCAAACTTGCATTAAAAACGCGACATGCACCCTCACTTGCCCAAACTGAAGGGAACTGCCATTCCAAAGTGGCGAGCCAGGTTTAATGCAAAATGAAACAATTCTAGACGCCACTCTGACGTCTTACGTATTAGTCCTTTGCTACATATCTGATTTGATTTTACCCTCCTTTTATCTCTGTTGCCACTCACTGCCTTAGGTCAGTTCTTTTTTCGTGCTGAGATTACATGCGCTGACAGTCCTCCACATAGCTGTCAGAATTACTCTAAAACATAATTGTAGTCATTTTGATATCACCTTAATACCTTCCTAAGGAGTTTGCTTTCAGGAAAAGGATACTTAGTAAAACCTACAACAGCGGTTCTCAGCCTTCCTAATGCTGCAGCCCGTTAATACTGTTCCTCATGTTGTGGTGACCCCCAACCATAGTTATCTCATTGCCGCCTCATATCTGTAATTTTGCTGCTGTTATGGATGGTCAAGTAAATATCTGATATGCAGGATGTCACATGTGTGACACCCACCCCCTACCCCAACCCCTCCTCCGAGCCAAAGGGGTTGTGACTCATAAGACTCCCTTGATGAGGCCAGTGCTGACCTCTTGGCTCTGGTGTTAAATAATTAATGCTCCCTTTTGCTGTTAGGAACTGATAGCTTTTCATCTCCTTCAGAGGAAATGCCATGCCCTTAATAACATGGAAGGGCCATTCTGGTCTCTGCACTTGCTTTTACTCCAGTCACATTGCTTTCCCTGTTCCTCGACACCACAGGAAGTAAAGGACTTGAATATACATAGTGCCATAACATAGTCACAAATGGGGAAAAAAACCATGAAAAGATGGCCAGCATCCCAAAATCAATGCAGATCAGAACCACAGTGAGATGCCACCTCAACATAACATGTATTATCAAACAAACAAACACACACAAACCTAGAAAATAGCAGGTCTTGATGAGGGTGGTGCTGACATGAAAAATCCATCAACAAGTTAATAATGGCATTACTGTCTGATCTAGGAGTTCTCCTGGTATGTGTCTACCTTCATAGCAGCATAGTGGATGAGCTGATGAAATGGGCTGTATACACAGCCTGTGCTATTGACTCAACCCTAAAAAGGAAAGAACTGATATATTTTATCTATAACTTCAAGGATAGTATGCTTAACGAAACAAGCCAGTCACAAAGATGGGTGCTGACTGATTCCACTTATTTAAATAGGTGCTGGAACAGTCAGATTAATTGAGATGGAAAGAAAAAAGGTGGTTGCCAGGAGATAGGGCCTGGGAAATGAGGAATGATGATATAGAGGAGTTTGGCTTACATGATGAAGGGTCCTAGAGGTGAGCAGTGCTGATGATGGCCCAGTGTGGTGTACTTAATACCACCGACCCACACTCCTAAAATTGCTTAACATGGTATGTTTTATGTATATTTTGTTGCAGTGTCAAAAATTAGGATTGAAAGATAAAACAGCTAAGTAATTTGTTCAGTATTGCTGAGTTCAAGGTTGCAGGCTGACTCCATGCTGGGGGACGGCATTGACTTAAAGTGCCTTTTGACATTAACAGCAGAAAAGTAGCCACAGAGATGAGAGCCACAGCAGGAGAGCTATGTCTGTGTATACTTGGTCCTTACAGTGGCACTGACCATGGGGGTCTTCCAGATCTGTACGGCTTCATTCTTTATGGCCCACCATCAGTTTACGGACCATACAACTCAATGACTTCTTTGTTGTTCTTGTTCGCTCTGGAGTGCAAGTATGGGGTGGTATCTCTGCCCTTAATGTATTTTCTGACCTGGACCATTGTTAGTGACAGGGTCCTGATGGGGAGACGCCAAGGGATGGAAAGATAGATGAGATGTCAGGAGGTCTTTCACAAGCTATGCCTTATACCAAGCAAGCTTATTAGGAAGTATGGCGTGTTGCATACTGTTAATAGGGGAAACAGCAACGGTTAGCCGAGCGCTAAGTCAGACAGTGACTTGGCAAAGAGAACATAGGATGATACCTCAGATATGACTGATAAGCTGAAGGGAAAGAGTTGGATCCTCAGAAGCTGCAACCTTGACTCCTTCGAGGCACTGGCTCTTCCTAGACAAGGACACAGAACTAAAGTATTCTTTGTCCCTTCATCAGGGCCTCTGAGAAAGCCTTGGTCAGTCTGGCTCCCCACAGTTTTCTAAATTAGATGAGATTTCAAAAGCAAACTAAGCTTCATAAAGTGTATTTATATGACAAGAAGGGAACTTTCCAACTGTTTGATTGTTGTTGTGAACACCCAGATACAACTGAGTAGCCGCCACACACAGGCTGTGTAACATTTGCTGTCGTATGTGGCACAATGATAGGCTGTCAATGGGTACAAGACTAGTTGTTTGACAGTTAAGAGATTCCATCATTATACAAACTGATGAAACTTTGCATAAGGAAGTTGTTTCTTTGTGAATTTATTTGTGTTTAATTTTTTTAAATTTGTTATTCTGTGTACCGGAGTTCTTAAATGGCAGTCCCTTAATTGGACGATTTGGACTTTGTCAGGTCTGGTTTATAACCTGCCTCTCTCACTTCAGCATCAGAGAAGTTAATAACCTGAGCTTTCCCTGGATCTTTTTTTAATCTCCTCAGGAAATTAAGTGTTAAATCCATTACAAACCCTCGCTATGTGGACAGCCTGGGAAACCCTTCAGCAAATGGCCTGTATGATTTGGCTTTGGGTCCTGCAGATTCCAAAGAAGTGTGCTCCACCTGCGTGCAAGACTTCAGCAACTGCTCGGGACACCTGGGCCACATTGAGCTCCCGCTCACAGTGTACAACCCTCTGCTCTTTGATGTAAGTGCTGCCCTGGGCATGTGGGTCTTGGGGTTGCTGGGCTTGTGAGGACCATCTCTTGTTCCTCTTTCTTAGAAAGAAAAGACCTTGAGGGACCTAGTACAAATCACCTTGAGTGTCCATTGTCCAAAATGCTTGAGACCAAAAGTGTTTCAAATTTCAGGTTTTAGAATATTTACAACCTACGAAATGGTGATATTGTAGGCATGGAACTCAAATGTAAGCATAAATTCACTCATAGTTTATATATACCTCATATATACAGTCTGAAGGAGATTGTATGTATTTCTGACATTTTTACATTTTTACTAAAACCCATAACCCATGAAGTCAGATGTTGAATTTGTTTATTTGTGTGTCAGGGCTCAAAAAGTTTGGGATTTTAGATTCTCAAATTAGGTATGCTTGCCCTGTAACTTCAGCTTACCCTACAGATTTACCCAGAGAATTTCATTTGATTCCAGTTGAGAAAAGCCACAGCTAGATTTTGTTCATGTTAGAGAGAAATTTGTTTTTTTTTTTTGTTTGTTTGTTTGTTTGGTTTTTTTTGGTTTTTTGTTTTTTACGAGACAGGGTTTCTCTGTATTGTTTTGGAGGCTGTTGGTCCAGCCTGGCCTCGAACTCACAGAGATCCGCCTGACTCTGCCTCCCAAGTGCTGGGATTAAAGGCGTGCGCCATCACCGCCCGGCTTAGAGAGAAATGTTTAGTGAGCCACCCACCCACCTATCCAAGACTCCAGGTCTAATTCAGACTTCATGCACTGATTTATGCCCTTTTGCTTGAAGGGTTCCGTGCCCTTCAGAAAGCTGGGTGACAGTCACCTCCCTAGTGATAGAGGGAATTCTGGTGCTCCCAAGGCCATTGGCTTTTCAGGTAGCTCTCCTCTTGGCAGAAGAAGCAAAGCCCCTGAAGGAAGACCAATAACATCAAAATGGAGCTCCTGTAGACTGCCACTTGTGTGTGTTTAGCTCTTTTATCAAGAAAACGAGGCTCCAGGAGTTAATCTTTTCAGATTGTGGTGTACACGCAGACATTGTTTGCCTCTTAAGCATATTAGAGAAAAGCTATTGTCTTAGTTAAGTAGTTGGTATAAAACAAAAGGAACTGCTTTTCTCAGACCGTGCATTCATTCTACATGAATCTCTAATTTGAATGGTTTAAAATGAAATCATTAAAAGAAATATTTGGGAATGTTTGACTAGTTTATAGGATCCAAAAAGCTATAGAGGCAGGAGTAGAATTCTTCAGAAAATAGACTATGGAAAGAAAAATCTCTTGTACAATGAAAATCACCATGAGTACTGTGTCTCTTTATAATGTCCCATTTCTCTTTGTCCCACTCTTTAGAAACTCTACCTCTTGCTCCGAGGCTCCTGTTTAAATTGCCACATGCTGACTTGTCCTCGGGCTGCCATTCACCTGTTGGTCTGCCAGCTGAGGGTCTTGGAAGTTGGAGCCCTACAAGCAGTCTATGAACTTGAGCGGATTCTGAGCAGGGTAGGTTGGTAATAGAAACTAGGACATCAAGAGATGCTTGTATGTTGTCCTTAATTGCCACCCCCAATGATCTCCAAAATGTCTGAATTTTTCTTTCTTTATTTTGGGGGGGGGTCTCTTGAGACAGGATTTCTCTGTTTACAGCCCTGACTGTCCTGGAACTCACTCTGTAGACCAGGCTGGCCTCGAACTCACAGAGATCCACCTGCCTCTGCCTCCCGAGTGCTGGGATTAAAGGAGTGCACCAAACTCCACTCGGTGACCCCTGTATCTTATAATGATGCCAATAGATAGATATTTTTCCCTGGGTCTGTGTGGAGCAGTAGGAGAAGAGGTAGATGGAGGCGCACATCCAAACCTTCAGACACGTCATTCCTTGTCCAAGGGTTTCTGGAAGAATTGGCTGATTATAAGCCTGGATCAGAAATTATACTAGCCTGTAATATGACGTGCCAGAGAGCAAGTTGGTTCTCAAGTCAGTCAAAAGAATGGCCAAATCTGGGACAATCAAAAATTGTGGTAGTAAATAATAAGCCATTGAATGCAGTAGAAATCTACGGCATTCGTGAATTTACATGGATGTAAATAGAGAATGGTTTGAATGACTGATACTTTAAGTAGCAGGCTGCTGGTACACTTTACAATACATTCTGCCACACACATGTATAATCTATATTAACCACAAAGATTGAGGAAGAGTCACTTTCTGATAGAAGAATCTGACAGTCACCCTTCCCAGCCCCATTCAAGTAATCAGTGAACAATACCAGATAGAAAAAAATGTAAATCATGTGGTATGTTCTAAACTGTGTAGAAAAAAATGTAAATCATGTGGTATGTTCTGAACTGTGGTAAAAATGGCATGTTGCTTTGGGGTTTTCCTACCACAAGGGCATTGGCTGAATTTTGCTCATGAGGAAACAAACGTGTGTGTGTGTGTGTGTGTGTGTGCGCGCACGCGCGCGTGCATGTGTGCACACTGTTCTGTGCAGTTGTACAAGGGTTCTTTGGATCCTCCCACCTTAATAGACCTGTTTGTTGGGTTTTGGGAAGTGGTGATGTCATGTTTGATACTAGGTATTGATTTCTGTTGCTGCATCATTTGGGGGCTTCAAAATGAAAAGCATAAAATTGATGAATTAAAAAATGAATTTGAGGTACACAGACCTCCAGGGGTTCTCAGAGACTTCTGTGTCAGTGTCTTCCACAGAAATGCATAAGAATACTGGGCGACCCCTGCACCTGGGAGCATAAGACTAAGTGACCCCCCCAGCTCATATACACTGACCTCACTGGACCCCTATTTTTACTTCAGTTTAGCCTGCTTCTTCCTCATTGACCTATCAGCCCTTCAGAGAATTAAAGGGTTAGAAACACTTTTGTGTCACTTTTGTCTTGGGTCTTTGAAATCCTTAATTGACCCAAATAGTCCAGCCCACAATCACTAGAAAAGGATTTGTTGTTATGTTTGTTTGTAAAATCTGGGGCCTTGCATGTGCTAGGCAAGCAGGTGCTCCGCTCCACCACTGACGGCATCCCTAGCCCACTTCACTGTTTTGAAGCTGTAGCACAGAAACTCTGGTTTCCTTTCCTCCTTTAGATTGATCTCAGTCCTTGAAGAGGTCAGCCACAACCATGATGTTCATCAGTCATTTACTGATTGTAGTATTACAGTAGCTTTCCTCTTTTTCAGTTTCTGGAAGAAACTGCTAATCCTTCCGCCTTCGAAATTCAAGAAGAGTTAGAAGAGTACACAAGCAAAATTCTGCAGAACAACCTCTTGGGGTCCCAAGGTGCACATGTGAGTTACTGCCATCTCCCTTTCTGTGATGCTTTGCTTTAAACATGATCGCTATGGTTCCTCTATGACATTGCCTGCATACATTTCTGGCTTCCCAGCTCTGCCCCTGTGAGCCCTATGACTTTGCAAATTTCTAAAATCGCCTGAGTGTTCATTTCCTTATGTTTATGGCTGCCAGCAGGGCTGGTAAGAGGGTTAGATGGTACTAGCTTAAGTATAACATCCAGCAAGCAGTTGTGTTGAGACCAATGTCTGTTCTTACATCCACCCACTCCCCACACCATTCTTTCTCTAAACCCCTGCTGTCTCATCTCTCCGTTAACGGCGTCTGTGAAAGAATTCATTTGCTCAGTGACAGAGAGAGGTAGCTAATAAGCTGCAACACTGACCTTCATACTGAATTCTCTTTATGACCAAGTATGGTACCATTTAATCTAGAGCAGGGACCCCTGTTCGCAGCCAAGCACCACTGTGGGAACGCTGAGAGCCAACTGGGAAAGTAACAGAGAGGGGGCCCAGCTACACACAGAATTAAATTAACCTGCACTTATTCCAAGCTCCCTAATGGATTCATGGTGTCTCTTAGTCACGGCTTCCTGGAGAAGTTTATGTTCTTAGTCTGATACTATGAGTAAGAATCATGCTAAACAGTCAGGATTTGTCCAGAGAGATGACATTAAAGAAACCCTCTGCTTTTCTACAAGAGTTGCCTGGTAGGACCAGAGAAATGACTTAACAGTAAAGGGTGCACACTGCTCTTACAGAAGACCCGCGTCTAATTCCCCAGAACCCATGTTAGATGACTCACAACCAGATGCCTCTGGCCTCCATGGCCACCTGTACATACCTATCTATACACAGACAAAGACATTCACACAACTTTAAAACAAAAAATTTAAAAATAAAAGGGAGTCCACATTAACTCCCTTTCTAGAAACTTCTTTTTTCTTAGTTGTGTTCTTGAAAAGCATAATCCTGGCAAGTTTGCTTAGGTTTGGGACAGTGAACTCTTTGATGTTCTGGCCTGTAGTGAACAGTGACTACATCCTGGCAGAGACTTTGGGGAACTTGGAGTGCTTAGCCTGGTCCTCTCAGTGAGTGGAAGGGTTGTCTTCAGTCTCGCTCTGTATTGCCTCCTGCTGCCCGCATTACTGGTGCTCATGCTTCTGTTGTTACTGACTGGTGAATGTATAAATGCCGTGACTCAGGTCATCTGCTCATTCCATCGTCAACTCTTGCCCAAATGATCACTGATAGCAAGAATGAAAATTTGTGTTCATCTGCTGTAGCTAACTTCTCAAGTGCTCATATTAGGATATTAAGCAGATGTGAATCTTTAATTACAGTCAGCACATCTTTAAAAACACTCTCAAAGATTATAGTGTGTCAGCGCCAAAGTCCTTTTCTACAAAATTCCATCAGTTTAGGCATCATTCTGTGTGCCTTTAGCAATAGAGACCTGTGAGCACTGTTTACAGTACAGTACACGGGTTCTTCCAGGCATTTTAGTAAATAAAGCAAGAATGTAGAAATTGCCTGAGGGTCAAATAAACCATAGTACAAGAACTGGTACTAGCCCACATGGAGTTATTAGTGTTTCCATGGCAAAGGCTCTGCATCATTTCCATCTGATACTAGGCTTCCTCAAAGTCAGCATCATATGATATACGTTCTAGGGGATAGAAAGCAGGTGGCAATTTCAAGATGATCTGCTGCAGCCAGACCAAAGAGCACTTCTTGAGAAACCTCAGTGCCTTGTCCTTGATGATGTTTGATTACCTTTAATATGACCACACAGATAGCTATTTAAAGACTAATTTGTGGGACATTTTTGTTTAAGTAAGGATGTATTTTAGTAACTTTTTGTTGCTGTGATAAAACGCCATGACCATAGGCAGCTTAAGGATGGAAGAGTTTATATGCACTTAAGGCTCCAGAAGTGGGGTTGTAATTGCAGGAGATCCTGGACTGAGAGATCATCTTCAGCTGCAAATATGAAGCAGAGAGCAAGTCTATGAGCTCTTAAAGCCTGTGCCCACTGATATGCTTCCTCTAGCCAGGCCAAATCCCCAAAGGTTCCATAGCCTACCCAAACAATGCCACCAACTAGGGACCAAGTGTTCAAATGCCTGAACTTGCCAGGGGGTATTTCTCATTCAGACCACCACAGGATGATTTCTTCTAGTTAAAATAAAAAATGAAAAACCACTAAATACATACAGATTGTATTCTTTTCAGAATGACATTGTGATGCAGGTATGGTAGTACATATCTGTAACCCCATTATTTGAGAAGCTAAAGTAAGAAGATTACGCATTTAAGGCTAATCTGGGCTACAGAGTGAGACCCTACCTAAAAATAAGTCACTGTAATATTCTGACTTTAAACAGGTGAAAAATGTCTGTGAAAGCAGGAGCAGACTCATTGCTTACTTCTGGAAGACACATATGACCGCTAAGCGATGTCCCCACTGCAAGTGAGTATTGTCCATCAGCCTTTCCTGCTTGAGCTGCTTGGCCTATCACTCAGCACTGTTTATTAAACATTGGGGTTTGTTTCTCTCTGCACATGTTCCCATGAATAGGACCGGACGGTCAGTGGTTCGAAAGGAACACAACAGTAAGCTGATAATCACATATCCAGCCGCAGTGCACAAAAAGTCTGGCCAGAAGGATGCAGAGCCCCCAGGTAAGCAGGCTGGGTCTCTAAGGAGCTCTAGCCGTGTTTCTCATGTGTACTCTCCGGGGAGTCCTAACTTCTTAGGGCTGGAGGATGAATGTTGTATCTTTTACCTTGAGACTCTGACAAGGTTTGGTATAAATAAAAAATCTGTGCACTGTTTTGTTTTCTTAGTTTTTTTGTTTGTTTTGATTTTTCCAGACATGTTCTGAAATTCACTCTGTAGACCAGGATGGCCTTGAACTCAGATCCACCTGGCTCTTGTGTACTGGTTTTTAATAAGCCTTTTATTGTGTAGTAAATTTAGACTTAGAGGATAGCAAACACAGTTCCCATAAATTCTCTATTCAGTTTGTCCAATTGTAACATTTTAGATTTTCCTAAGCATTCATCAGAACTAACATGGGTGTGACACTGTTAACTAATTTAAACTTCACTTGAAGCTTGCCAGTTTTTCTGGTCATGGTCTTTCTGTTTCCTAGGACCCAGAGTGAGATTTTCCACCCTGTTTAGAAAGACTGCTAAGTGTTGTTTAATAGTGAACAGCTAGTAGCACAAGAGTGGATTTCCCTTCTTTTACCTGCAAATGGCGATGGAAGCATTTCTCTTACTGCTACTTGACGGTTGCTACCATGACCCCCAAGTTATCTTAGAAAATGATAAGACACTGAAAACAGACATTCTGAATTTTAGACGACAGCTCCAGTTGGGAGGCAAGTGTTCAGCGATAAAGTAGCCTTTTAGTTCCTTTGTCAAGCCCATTCATTTGAGGTAATCTTTTGCTGTCACTGCAAGTATACCATGAAACTGGAAGGCTGGGCATTAGAAACCTGTAGAAAATAGTCTTTGTTTTGGCTTTAGGATTGGTTTTTTTGTTCGTTGGTTGGTCTTGTTTTTGTTTTTTTATTTAATAACTTTTTAGCTGGGAGGAGTTTGAGACAAGGTCTCTTTACATGGTCCTGGGTGTTGTGGAACTCACTGCATAGACCAGGCTGGTCTTGAACTCACAGAGATACTCCTGCCTCTGTCTAGACCACATGCTGACTTAAAGGCGTCCGTGGACCCTCACATCCGGCATAAGTAATGCTTAGATATTATTTACCCATGTTGGGCTGGCGAGATGGTTCAGCAGATAAAGTTGCCTCCTGCTAAACCAGACACCCTGAGTTAAGTCTCCAGGACCCACATGTGGGAAGAGAGAACCGACTGCTGAAAGTTATTTGTTCTCTGACCTTCACTGTGCCATGGACTATTACATACACATCCACTCTTCAACAGATACATAAATTTCATTTTTTATTAGTTAAGGGAAAGATTAGCTAAAAGTATAAAACAGGGCAAACAGCATTGCTGTTTACGGAGAGTTGAGAATATGTGGAATGTGGGTTCCAGCTGGCAGCTGTCACCTGTGTACTAGCCACTCTCTAGAGCAGGGAACACAAGCGCAGCATAGTTCCTGCACTGATAAATCCAGAAACGGGAAAATTGAGCAATGCTTCATTTCAGTTAAGGCATCCCAGGAAATGCTGACGATTTTGAGCCTACATGATTCTTAAATTACCTTTGTTCTTCATCTGAGTTTTAGAAGTTGGCCTCTTGAATGATAACCCCAAATACAGTTTTCTACTTAATCGGCGCATAGCTAGTAACCAGCCTCTCAGGAAATTTTGCCTAGTCACCTTCACCTACTAATGTGATATTTTTAAAGTCAGTGTATTTGAATCTGTAGAAATTTCCACACAGGGACTAGCAAGAACAAGTGGATAAAAGGACTTAGGGTCCACACCTATGTTCTGTCCCCAGAACCCATCCTGAAAGAAAGAAGCAGCTCCCAAAAGTTGTCAGAAGACGGCTTCCATATGTGTGACTTCCATGTGTGTGCACAGTGGCACATGTGTTGTCACAGTGACACAGTGAAGAGCAAATCTTCAGATGTATTACTTCTGCTTCTGTGACCCTTTCTGGTGAATTACCATGTGCATAAAGATAATGTTACTTGCATTGAACCCAGGGCCTCATTCGTACGAGGTATATTCTACCGGTTTATAGTGTCCCAGCCCAATAATGTTTACTTAGAAAAGCAAAACACTGGAATTGAGCTGAATGTCCAAGTAGAAGAGTATGTCAAATAAATTAGGAAACTCCCTCAGTAGAGTATCCTGCAGCCAAAAATATGATTGGAAACAGACATGGTGGTGCATGCCTTTAATCCCAGCACTCAGGAGGCAGAGGCAGGCAGATCTCTGATTTTGAGGCTAGCCTGGTCCACGGAACAAGTTCCAGGACAGCCAGGGCTACACAGACAAACCCTGTCTCAAAAAATGAGGGGAAAAAAAATGTGGTGATTGAAGCTGGCCATAGACTATTTAAGCCCAGCTTTTGGGAGGTGGAGACAGGTTAGCCTGGGCTGTATAAGATTGTTTCAGTAACAAACTAAAAAATAGTCAGATGAAACTATATAGCACTTGTTCATATGTGCCTCTGATAATACCAAATGAGCAGAGTTCTGTTGAAAATAAATCCATGCAGCTGGGTGGTAGTGTCTCATACCTTTCAGCACTTGGGAGTCAGAGACAGGCAGATCTCTTTGAGTTCAAGGCCAACCTGGTCTACAGAGTGAGTTCCAGGTCAGCCAGGATTGTTACACAGAGAAACCCTGGCTCAAAATATAAAAACAAACAAACCAATAGCAAAAGCCAAAAAGAAAGAAATCCATGTAAGATTGATTTCTGTAGTCTTGAGGTAATATTTCATTGGGTAGTCCACCCACACTGCCCTAAAACTCGTGATCCTTCTGTGTCATCCTCCTGAATACTGAGGTAATAGGCCTGCACCACCGTGCCTGGCAAAGTTTCAATGTCATGTAAAGTAGTACATGAACCAAAGTACTAGAAAAGAATATTTAAAAGTGAAAATAGTTCCATTAATATTGTGAGCTAGTGGTGATGGTCTCTTGCTCTGCCTCTCTGGTTTTATATAATAGTGTGTTGTTTTCATCCTCTGGAAATTAGAGTGTGGGTGGAAATCTGGGTTGGAAAGTTTGATGTTTGTGGTAGAGTTTCAAGCTTTTTATAATTGGGACAAACAATGGCTGTCTCTCGTTACAGAAGGAGTACCAGCAGCTCCAGGAATTGAAGAAGCTCTGATGGGGAAGCGAGGGTACCTGACACCTAGCAGCGCCCAAGAGCATCTTTTTGCCATTTGGAAGAATGAAGGTGCTAGAGAAACAGCCTGTCTATTGATTTCCTGGTTCATTTCATTAGCCCACCCTTAACTAAAGTTCTAATTAATGGAGCTCTCCCTTGAAATCTATCCATAGATCTGGGGCAAGCTTCGGGGCACATTGACTTAGAGCTATAAAGGAGCAGGGGAGGTCACACCCAGCACCAAAACCTTGCTGTACCTGAGTCCAGTCACTCATACACTGATGTTTTCCTGCAAGTTTCATTGTCACTCACCTATTTTAAGTGCCCACTAAAAAAAGATGTTTTGGCCGGCATGGTGATGCATGCCTTTAGTCCTACAACTCAGCAGGCAAATGCAGGCAGATCTCTGTGAGTTCCAGGTCAGCTTGGACTATATAGTGAGTTCCAAGACAGCTAGGACTACATACTGAGACCCTGTCTTGAGCCCTACCCCAGCCCCAGAAAAAGATCTTTTAAATGTTGTATGGGAATCTTTTGTATGTTTCAGTTCCCTACTAAAAGGGAAATCTCTGTTCTCTTTTGAATACATAACAATCTATGCAGGATGCTCAAGCCCTCACATCTGTTTTCTAAGAGGGTGTCCTGGAACACGTGACTCTGCTTTCTGTATAAGTGCTCACAGACAAGCATGGTGTTCACATATCAGGAATCAAAAGAGTAAGCAAGTTAGTGAGATACTCTATGGGGCAGGTTTTATTTGTTTTCTCCAAGCTGTTTTAGGTCACCTGAATCTAAAATATGTCTTTGATCCAGTTTGCTGAAGAGCCTTCTTGACATACTCATGAAGAGGATGTTACATATCTTTTTTGTTTTTTTTTGCTTTCCTGAGGTTTCCAGTCGAGGTTTCTCTGTGTAGCCCTGGTTGTCTTGGAACTCTCTCTGTAGATCAGGCAGTCCTCGAACTCTGTTTCCAGGTGCTGGAATTAAAGGCCACTCTGCCCAGTTTGTCTTTGTTTTTAAAAGCTAAACTTTATTTTGACTTGATTTTTTTTTACTTCCATTAATTTTGTCTAGAGTTCAAAGTGGCAGATATTTAATTATGTGTGTAAGACTACAAGTCCAAGAGGGTGATGAAAATCTCTTGTTCCTGCACAGCTCATTTCCTTTCTTAGTAGTGTTGTCCCTGGGTGTCTTTATGTTGTCTTACTTGCATACAAGCTGTCATATACCCAGGCTGGTTTTGGTTTGTTTTTATGAATAACTTTTCTAACTACATAGGATCCCAAACTTTTTATTTAATTTTTTTCTCAGTAATATTTCTATGTCCTTATACATAGGCTTAAATGGTCTTATTGGTTACTTTATTTCAAACACAGGATTCTTCCTGAATTACCTTTTTTCTGGATTGGATGATATGGGCGTGGAGTCTAGTTTCAACCCCAGTATGTTCTTTCTAGATTTCATAGTGGTGCCGCCCTCCAGGTAATGCCTTTTAAAACTTATTTTGCATGAAAAGGGTGGGCTGAGGAATTGAGCAAGGACTTTTAGGAGGGCCTGGAAGGGTTGGGGCACTGAGAAATCATGAAACTGTCCACCCAAGGCTGCAGGTAGTGGCCTGAACAGTCTCTATTATTTGGTTGTCTAGACATGAACGTTGTTTGAGTAGGTTGTGTTAGGTTAATTCAGGTTAAGAGTCTGGAGAACACTCATGGAGTCCTATGTCACTCTGTAGGTATCGTCCTGTCAATCGCCTGGGGGACCAGATGTTTACTAATGGCCAGACAGTGAACTTACAGGCTGTAATGAAGGATGCAGTTTTGATCCGGAAACTTCTGGCATTGATGGCCCAAGAACAGAAGCTGCCCTGTGAGGTGACAGAACTCATCACAGACAAGGTCAGGGCTGCCTCAGTGGTGATATATGATAGGCTTGGTTAATGACTGGTATGATAAGAACTACCCTTTGCAGACACAGATGCTATAGCTGCTGCAAGATGCTACCTTCAGAGGGCAGCACCCCTGGTGGGCAGTGTGAATAGTTGGGACGAGCACAGGCCTGATGATAGATAAATCTAGGTGTGTTTTAGGTTCTGTATCCAATGACCATGCCAGTGGTTTTAGTTGAGTCACTTTGATTTCTTGGTCTGATCTCCACTATAAAGTGTATGTAATTTATGGTGAGGTTTCACACCTAGGCTGTTCTGCACCACAGTAAGGCAAATAGTCGTCTTCCCTCAGGCTTAAGAATGTGTGTTTTATGCTCATTAAAGTCTTCAGCAACATAGCTAGGACAATGTAGAATGGGATTTTTAGGATAAGGCTGTCCCCACTGACATTTCCATAGCCCTTTCACTCTTCTGGGTCTTATACCAACTCTATAGTGAACATAAAGCTGTATTGGTTACTTAGAACATTTGCCAAGGCCACTCCCATCCTGAAATGTGGTCAGGATGCAAATAAAAATGGCCTTCTCCAGCCTTGGAAAGACAGGCCTCTCAGACTTCTGCCAACTGTTCAGACAGTCCTGCTGTCAGCCCAGATGTCCCTTGGGAACCTAACTTTGGATGGCTCCTTGAAGCTTCCTCTGGTTCTGCTGAAGTTTACTGATGGGTCAATGTAGGTATGCTTTGAACAGATCCTCAGTGTAAGAGAGAGTTGCCATCCGCAATCCCTGGTCCAGTATGGGAGACAAAAGATCATAGGATAACCAAATCCAAGGACTAAGAAGAATTTCATTTTCATATCCTTTTAGAGTAGAGATAAGCTTTTGTCCATAATAACAGGGCTTGATCTCTGTAGAAAAACCAGTGCCATCTTGATCCCTAAACCAGTTTCCCTTTGGTTAATTAGACATAGTCTTGTCTTTTCCCTGTTTGTGTTCATCATTGTATTCCCATAGCAGTGCTCTCCCAGGAGCTGTTCCCAGGGACTAGGGATGTACCAGACCAGTGGACAAGGTCTTGTTCTTTTCAGCAGTAATCATGTGGCTCTGAGCCAGCAGATGCTATAAGCTGGGTTCAACTATACAGGCCTCTACCATCATTCACGTGGTGAAAGGGTCCATAATGTTGCCTGCAGAACTACATGCATCTTCCTAGATGATTCCTTTAGCCCTTGGTTGTGGGGACAAACCCAAATTATCACTTTGATGTTATCATCTACTGGATCATCGCCTGCCCTCTACCTTGACACACTGGCAGTTTTTTTCTCTCATTTGAACTACAGTAGAGGATGTGAAAATTATTTCCTAGGCCATTTGCAGCCAGATGGGGCCAGTAGGAGGTGCTTGGCCAGTAGGTGGTGCTCTAAGTCACCCTAGGACTTCTGTAATTCTTGTCTGGGCAGGTAACAGGGGGAGTGGAAGAGACAGAACTAGGATAGAAATATTTTTAAATGATTAGATAAATATGTAAGCTTGAGGGTCAGCCTGTAACTTAATCTAACCAACTTGGGACTTAACAGACACGCAGTGTTGTATGGCAAACATTTTTCTTTTTAAGAAATTATTTGACCTACATTAAAATAATAGTAATACTATTATTGTTATTATTTGTAGTTTATTATTATTTGGAGACAGGGTCTTATGTAGCCCATGCTGGCCTTTAAGTCACTATATAGCCAAGACTGACCTTCAACTTCAATCTTCCTGCCACCTTCCAAGTGCTAGGATTACAAGTGTGTACCATCACACAGTTTATGTGGTGTTGGGGGTAGAGTTCAGGGCGTCCTGCATGTTGCACCTGCACTTTTATAAATTCACTGAACCATCTTTTCCTAAGCCTTTAACTAAAGTGGCAGTTCCACGTGAAACGCACTCACCTGGTAGAAGCCACAGGAGTAGAGTGCCCGCAGGACAGGTTGCTATGGCTCTGTCAATTTTGGCGGAGAAGGCATTGGGAAGCTTTAAACAGGAGCACGAGCATGCTTGCGCGCGCACTCACACACACACACACACACACACACGCAGACAGACAGACAAACACAGAGACACATACACACACAGACAGACACACACACAGAGACACACACACACACACTTTTTTTTTTTTATCTTGGTTTAGTTTTGAATTTTGAGATAGGATTTTGCTGTGTAGTCCAGGAGGGTCTCACTCTTCTCACTCTCCTGCCTCAGCTTCTCAAGTGACTGATAATTGCAGATATGTGCTACAGTCCTGCTGTGTTTATAACTTCTGAGCTCACTTTACTGCCAAAAGAGACATGCTAATACATATATAATGGGACTGATGTGTACGAGTACATACTGACAAGTTTAGTTCATCATCTGTCAGCCTCAAAGGCTAACTCCAGTTTTATCATTTCAGAGGCTAAGCTTACTTATTTATTTATTTATATTTAAATCAGAGCTAGGTTGAGTAAAAAACAAGGTGTTTTCCAATCATTCCTATTTCGTTGAATTTTATCTTCCCAGGAAAATGACTCTTCAGTTGCTATCGACCGATCCTTTTTAAGTATGCTTCCAGGCCAGTCTCTCACAGATAAACTTTACAACATTTGGATTCGCCTTCAGAGCCATGTCAATATTGTGTTTGACAGTGAGATGGACAAATTAATGTTGGAAAAGTACCCTGGCATAAGACAGGTGAGCAGTGATTGCATTTCCGTCACAAGTTGGTGAGGGTCAGTAATAAATAACAACTGCTCTATATTCCCAGCTCCCATCTGAATGTTTATAGATGCACATTATATACACTGGTATGGAAGCAGGAAAACAATAAACATAATTGAATTATTTATTATTCTGTCTTTTTTCTTTTTACAGATCCTAGAGAAGAAGGAAGGCCTGTTCCGGAAGCACATGATGGGAAAACGAGTCGACTATGCAGCCCGCTCAGTCATCTGCCCAGACATGTACATCAATACCAATGAGATTGGAATTCCCATGGTGTGTTGTTAGGGAGAGACCTCATTTTGCCACTGATAGACAGGTGTACCATAAAGGTCTGAGGGCAGTTTGGTGGTAGAGCAGCTGTTCCAGTGGGAATAGTGCTTCTTCACACGTGGAGGAAGGACCTGTAGGGAAGGAACTTGAGGTGCATAAAGGTGTTGCCATCCTATTAGAATACTTTGCCCTGAAGCACTAGGGAATTCCCAGCAGATCATTCCACTTCTTGTATCTGTATCTTATTCTTGCCTATCTTAACCTAGATTTTAAACCTTCCATGTCCAACTGAGTCCATGATGGAAGAAGAGGGCAAGGGGATTTCAGTCCCACTTGGGTGTCTGGCTGTGACAAGTGGGAGGACCCTTAGGCAGCATGTGTGTCGTCTGCCCCAGTTCCAGGGGTGAGGGCCAGTCCACCCATTAGCATTCCCTTGGCGAGCCAGCTTCCTTTTCTCACTTCCCCACCAGTTAAAGCCTTCGTGCTCATTAGTAGCAGCTCTCTGGCCGACTTCCTCCTTAATGGGCCTTGAGGTCAATAATTCGAAGATGGTTTAATTCCCTCTGTGCAGAGTTTCATTTCCTTACACGCCACCCTGCCTCTCTTGGGGAAGCTAGTAATGAGCAGAGCTAAAGTGTTCCGATTCTTCGGCACACTTTGGCTTCCTAGGCAAGAGCCTGCTGTGTCAAGAACCGGCAGAGGAGGCTCTGCCCTGTGCACTGCCCCCCAAGAACCACAGGTCCTTGCCTGCAGAAGCTGGACTGTATACCAAAGAAAGGCGCCACGAAAGCCAGCTGTCATATTCTCAAGTCTGAAGTCCAGGAAGGAAAGGCCCAGGACATGTTCATTTTCTTCTCTAGACAGAATGTAGAAGCTACCCTGGCTTTGACCTCAATGCCCAGAGTGTCCCCAGCTTTGGAGGAAACCTTTAGTGAGTCCTTGCCTTCTATCTTCCCAGAATTCAGGCCTTTTCCTTATTGGATCTGTTTATTTGCTGGCTTGGACCCTGAGGAGAGACTAACGCTGTCCACCCTACTGGCCCTACCCTGCCCTATTCTCAGTCATGTAGACCTTGGGTTATTGTAGGGCAGCTAGGAAGAAGAGGGTGGGTAAAGCTGCTGCCCTACCCCCTCCTCCACAACATACCAGAGGTGTTATGGGAACAAGGAGGTGAGATAAAATGAGAATGAGCTAAGCCGGGCAGGGAGCCACACACCAGAGCAGTGTCTCCTAAAGCTGTATGCCAAGTGGTGACCAAACAGTAAACAAGTCCATTAGGAAAGTAAAAGAGGTCGGACCATGGCAGGGCTCCTGCACTGCTGCCTCACAAAGACCTGGGGCGTTACCTTCCTAGGCTCCAGAGTCTTTAATTCACTTGTGTGCGTGTGTTGAAGTATCAAATAAAAATCAGTGATGGGGAAACTAACTCAACTGTAGAGAAACACACTTGTTTTAGAGCAGGTTTCAGGTCTAGTATTGACAAAAGAACACTTAATGTTCTTCAGTCTCAGAATTGCAAATCCATTTCCTCTCAAATACTACTGACTGATGCTTTGCCTGAACTCAGCGGAACTTCCTTGAGGAGTTAGCAATACCTGCTAAGATGTGGAGGGGTGTGGTGACTCTCAAGCAAGTGCCCCATTCCACTCCTTCCTCCTTTGGCGACCCTGACTTTATTGGCAGATGGGAAAAGGGTGAAGTTTCAGCGTGCATTTAAGAAAACTAATGCAGCCAGGCAGTGGTGGCGCACACCTTTAATCCCAGCACTTGGGAGGCAGTAGCAAGTGGATCTCAATGAGTTCAAGGCCAGACTGGTCTACAAAGCAAGTTCCAGGACTGCAACATAGAGAAACCCTGTCTCAAAAAAACAAAAAAAAGAGAGAGAGAGGAAAAAAAACTAATGCATAAATTGCCCAGTCTGTTCCCTCAAGGGAGCAAGCGAAGCAGAATGACTCTGTAGAGGTCGTAGATGTTCTGTCTACAGAAAGGCCTAGGCTAAGCAGACAGCTGCCCTGAGTTTGGGAGGAAATCAGACAGCTCATTTTGTTACTTTTGTATTCCTGGAACCTTTGTCTACTCCTCCTGACATGCAATCCTTGTTTCTAGGTATTTGCCACAAAACTCACCTACCCTCAGCCAGTTACCCCATGGAACGTGCAGGAACTAAGACAAGCAGTCATCAATGGACCCAACGTGCACCCAGGAGCCTCCATGGTCATCAATGAGGACGGCAGTCGCACAGCCCTGAGTGCAGTGGACGCTACCCAACGGGAAGCTGTGGCCAAACAGCTCCTGACACCAGCCACAGGGGCTCCTAAGCCTCAGGGGACAAAAATTGTGAGTAAATGAGGGTTTGGCCAGGACTGTCTGTCTAGTTTCTGTCTGGTTCCTGCATGCTGCCTTTGAAAGGGGTTACTCAAAAAGTGGTACTCAGATCAGTAGCAGCTTCACTGGAACTAGGAGAGATATAATTGACTTTACCCCCATACTGGGATTGGCTGTCTGTAATAACGAGGGCAAGCTCGACAAAGTTCCCACCTGCCTAGAAGGAACTTTGGAGGAACAGAGACACACTCTGGGCTTGGCAGGGTGACCATTGGTTCCTATTGATGTTCAGTGCTGACAACACCACAGACCGGTCCTCTTGCTTTCCTTATTTTCAAAGCCATCCCCTCACTCCACCCGGTTAGAATAGCAATGCTGCTTGAGTTAAATTCTGCTCTGTGCCGTTTTGCTTTTGTGACAGGGACACCATTCAGACTGATACATAGGTCATGGTACCAATTTTGTTCTTTGTCAGGTTAGTACATTGTCATGTTTTCTCCTAGGAGCTATGTGAGGGATTTAAGAAACAAGGTTTGTTTCACTTTTGAATTCAGGCAAACGTAAATTATCTTCCTGTTCACTTAAACAGTTGCAGTGAGAAGAAATGTTTCAAGAGAAGTATGCAATGAGGGGTTATTAGTACTGAGGTCCCACTATGTGCTCAGGCTTTGTAAGGACATGACCCTGACAGGGACTGCCAATAAATACATCTGTGCTCTAAGCCAGGAAGTGAGCCATCAAGGCTAAGCATAGGTGTGTTGGAGAGGGAGCCCCAGGGACACTGCCGTAGAGATTTGTGAGAGGTGAATGAGAAGCAGTAGTTTCCATTAGGAGAAAAGGGGGTGTCAAGGAAAGAGCGACAGTTTTTAGCCCTTGTAGATTTGAGGTGACTGTGGAGAAAATAAGGGCCATCTCCTGTAAAAAGCAGAAATGTGAGACTTAGATTGGAGAGACCATAGGAAAAGCTATCAGGCCCGTAAACCCGTTGAACAGAGCATGAGGAAGAGAGAAAAGGTCTCCTGAGAGTATGAAATAGAGGAGCAGCAGGGAAGGTAGGGCGTGATGGGCTGGGCTTGCTGATTTTGCGCTTGCACTTGTTTCTTATATGTAGTTAAGGAGTTCTTTAGGGTTAAGCCAGAGCCATCTGTGAACATAGAGGGAGACAGATTTCAGAGCCCTCATGCTGAGAAAATACACAGTAAATAACTAGGAACATTTGTAAGTCAGTAAGTCAGAAATGGTCTGACATCATTGGGGTATAAGGCGGGGACACTAGGGTGACCTGGTTACTTCTGTGGGCTCAGGTGAGGATAGGCAAAGGGGTGGGACAGGAGCTTCACTGAGCTGCAGCGTGCTAGGAAGTTCACGGGAAGCCAATGAGAGAGGGTGAATGAGGGCGACCCAGTTGAGTATCTTCCAACTTGGGCTCAAGTCCTTACCAAGCTCACAAGGCCTCCTATCGCCTTTGCTTTCTCCACTGGTTCCCCTTTCAGCCCAAACCATTTCAAGCTCTCTACAGCCGCCTCCATCTCCTTTCAGACTTGGCATGTGCTGTTCCCCTACCTGGAACTCTTTGCCCTCCTCTTGACTCGGTGGCTGATTCCTGCTGTCCTTCGGGTCTCAGGCCGGCCCTCCCTTCCCTGGGCTCAGAGTAGATACCTTGGCCTTACAGGCTCTTGTGACTACTCAGCTCTTACTATGTAGTATAAAAGCAAGTGAAGACAAATGGATGTGAGGCTGCAGACAGTATTTTACTACCCCCGAAAATCCCGCTAGATACCTGATGTGGTCCCCAGCATACACATCCCTCTCCCTGCTTCTCGCTTTTGCTGCATTGTATTGTCCCTGTGTGTGCCCATCTCTGTGTTCGAGTTCCCCATTCGCTGCAAAAACAGGAAAAGATGTTGAAAGTAAAGTAGTCCTTCCCTCAGGTTCTGGGATGGCAAGTTTCATGTCAAAATGTCAATAATGTTATGTAGATATAGGATAATTCAACTTAGGTGTTCATATACTTCTAATTTGTCATTTTGAAAGAGTTCGTGCATTTGCTACACAGAGCTCAGGACAGGACAGAAGGCCTGGGAGAGGTGACTGGTAGGAGACTAAGGATCAACTTAAAGGTCAGGTGAGGGAGGAAGGACTGTCAGAAAGGTCATTTTCCCTGTGACAGAGGCAACCTCTGTCCTTTCCCCTGGGCCTCATCAAGAAGGAAGTGGCCAGGATAGCGTAGGCTTGTTTGTCTGCCTGGCAGCTACCCTAAGCAGCCTCTGGCCCCATGCCTGCCCCTGCAAACTCTGACCCGGGCACTGGGGCACACTAATTTTCACCACAGTATTTATTTAGTGACAAGAGAAAGGAAAGACCTTGGTTTAGGTTGGCACGTGGAGTGCCCTGCGCTCCAGGTTTCTGTTTGGATTGGCCAGTGTCTGGCAGACTGGCCTACTCTTCCCAGCTGCAGTGAATTTACTTAAGCTGGATTCACTAGACTCAGATCCTAGGCCCAGCCTGGGGTTTGGGCCTGGGCCACAGATCTGGCTAGCTTTTCCCTTGAGACACTAAGGCAAGAAAACCTCAGGCTGTGTGACGCACCAAGCCTGCCAGTGCCTTGGGCAGATGCTTGTGGGAATCCTCAGAGTGCAGGTCTCCTTGGAAACACAGGGTGCAGTCGGGTGTGGGCATAGGAAGGTTGGAATTCCTTGGGAAGTGAAAACACAGACCCTGTGCTTTCTGCTCCTCTGAGGGGGCTTGAGCAGCACTGACAAGGACTGTGGGAAGGCGGGGAGAGGTAAATCTCTTCACAGTCTGAAGCCCAGTGTACAGGCCTGCTGTAGCCAGTTTTCCAGTGTGCCCTCAGACATACGGGCAACCGAAGGATACTAGCCGTGTTTCTTCCTGCCTCTTAACTGTGCGACCTGAGGGGGATTGATGATTACCAAGGGTCCATGTCCTCTGGGTCACCTTGTCTTTGTACAGTTGTTTTTAAAAGTGTTCTTTGGGTTTGAGGAGGAGGTGTTCTGTCCAAGGAGCATAACAGAGTGGGCTTGAAAGGGGGATGTCTGATTGCTGTCTGTCTTGGAGGGTAAAATTACTTCTGCTTCTGGTTTTCTCCCTTCAATGAGCACATTACTTGTGCAGCTTTTCCTGCTTTTTTCCTACATTTATTATTGGGGAGGAAGTAAGGGGACACACATGCCATGGCATGTGTGTGGAATCAGAGGACAACTTTCAGGAGCTGGTTCTCTCCTTCCACTATGTGGGTCACAGGGATCAAAGTCAGGCCGTCGTCAGGCTTAGTAGACTTTACCCATTGAGTCATCTCTGGCAGGCAGAGCAGGAGGACCATAAATTTAAGGCCAACTTTGACAACACAGCAAGACCTTATTTACAAAGAGTATATTTTGCAGAAGTGGTATGTATTCTAATAGAACAATACTAAGATCTGTGGTGGTTAAGGTGTGTCTCACAACCCTTCCTCTTGAATCCGTGTCCCAGAAGCCAGCAGTGAGGACCTGCACACCTTTTCTTATGTGCAGCTGCCCTATACACAATTGGGTTGATTTCCAGTCATTGTATTCTGTCTCCTTACATGCTAGTGGGAGTTTGTTTGTTTGTTTGTTTGTTTGTTTTCTTTGCATTATTACTTCCTTCATCATCATACTCAGAATATTATTGATTTAATTTATTGTCTTTTGTCACTGAGTAGCATTCTGTAATGTGCACACACCAGGATTTACTGCCACTTCTGTGAGTCAGTTGGGATATTTTTACTTTCTTCCTGCCATAAACGGGACTGCATAAACATACATTCTTTTTGCTTACCGTGATGCTTTTTCCCTCCTGAAAGGCCAAAAGGAAATGTTTTGAATGTTGTGGGGAATATTTTCAGGATGTTTACCCCAAAGATTATGAGTTTTTAGTTTTTATACTTATTTTGAAGTTTTGAAATACAGAAAGTTTGCAGGGGTCACTGAACTAAGGCTCACAAGCCTTGTCTTCCATGTTCTGTGAGTAGTTAGGCTAATTACTGCTAAATGGTAGGATTCATGTATGACCTTGGGGGGATTTGAGAAGCCTGCCAAGTTCTTTGAAATCCATTGAGGCATGCAGTCTTGAGGAATTTTATCAGTTTCTCTGTTAACCTCCCATAGAAGAACCTAGGGCCCTGCAGAAATGTGCATTCCTGAGAAGATGATGCTTGCTGCAGAGAACTGTGGCCGGCCATGTCTGCTCCTTACACCTCTGAGTCTAGAAATGGGATCTGAGCCTTGAAAGGTCAAGAGCGAAGGGTCCTGGGGAGAATTTCTAGAGCTTTTCTCTAGATCAGAAATCCCCTTTCATTTAGTTGACTGGCACACAAGCCATACAGAGCTCACCCAAGCCAAGTGTGGCAAGCCCTTGGAGGATCAGTGATGTTGCCAAAGTTCCCACTGGCACTCAGCTGCTCTTCATTCTGTGCCCCCAGGTGTGCCGGCATGTGAAGAATGGGGACATTCTCCTGCTGAATCGGCAGCCCACCTTGCACAGACCCTCCATCCAGGCCCACCGTGCCCACATTCTGCCTGAAGAAAAAGTCCTACGCCTTCACTATGCCAACTGCAAAGCCTACAATGCTGACTTTGATGGGGACGAGATGAATGCCCACTTCCCCCAGAGCGAGTTGGGCCGAGCTGAAGCCTATGTCCTGGCCTGCACTGATCAGCAGTATCTTGTTCCCAAGGTAAGTCTGACCTTGAGACCATGTCATGGTCATCACCAGCATGACTTGGCATGCTGGGCCTGGGTCTTGGCTGTTGGACTGCTCCAGGACAGGATTGTGTGGAACAGGAGGTCCTAGGTTCTTCACAGTGTGTTTTTCTGCTTTGTGCTTAAAGTCAAGGAAACATTTTTGTCTGGTTGTGACTTAAAATACTAGGAGAAAACCTGGGGCAGCCATCCTAGAGAGCCAGATTCAGTACCTGAATGACAGCATTTAGTTCCAGACTTGTCTATAATCTCTAACTTAGGGTCTAGTAAACATTTAGCATGCAAAATATGAAGACCCACAGAAGACTGATCCTTTAGTTATGAGGAGCCTACATTTGGCAGTTTTCCCTGTTTGTTTGGTCTTGTTTATTTTTATGATTTTTTATTCAAATATCACATTACTTCCTCCCTCCAACCTCTTCTCTACCCCACCTCAAATTTATGGCTTCTTTTTATTTAGTTATCATTGTTTTTATACACACGCACGCACACACGCAGATATATCAGATATATCAGTTGGGGCTAGGTACTAGGTTAACTGTTTGCTTCATTTTGACTAGTTGTAGTTTTCTGTTATGAAGGGTGAGAGGGGATATGGATAAATATTTAGAATACAGTTAGGAATTAGCTAATTTAGTCAAGTGTTAGTAGTAGTTGCTCCTATAACCTTACTAGCCCCGGGTAATTAGCTAAGTTTCTAGTAGAAGACATGATTTCCTTTTTCTTGAGCAAGTTGTAAGTTCATTTAGACAACTATAAGTTACTGCTAAGACATAAGTGCCGATATTGCACCCTCACAGATACCTTGCTATGGTGGTCATTGTTGGGGTTCATAAGAATCAAAGCTGGGTAGGACTACTGGTTGATTCCCTCCCCTGCGAGCTTACATAGCACCTTCTATGAAAACTAGCCCTCATGAAGGAGGCTTTCAGGTCAGATCTACTTGGATCCCCTAAGCCCTGTGACTGAAGTGCATAATGTCTCAGCAATGGGGACTTGACTTCAACCTCTGGGAGGTAGTCAGGGGCAGCAGCAGTAACTTATATTTGTGGGGTCATCTCTTGGACCCGCTTGACCAACAACTCAAAAGGGAGTTTTTGTTTTTTTTTTGTTTTTTTTTTTTTTTTGGTTTTTTGAGACAGGGTTTCTCTGTGGCTTTGGAGGCTGTCCTGGAACTTGCTTGGTAGTCCAGGCTGGTCTCGAATTCACAGAGATCCGCCTGCCTCTGCCTCCCGAGTGCTGGGATTAAAGGCGTGCGCCACCAACGCCCGGCCAAAAGGGAGTTTTTCATGCCTGATTTTTGCTAAATAGTCTATGGCTCATGGGAGAGCATTGTTAGCTCAAATAGGATAACTTTATTTAAGTATATGTGTATATCTATATATATATACACTTACATGTGTCATATGTAATCTTAGATAAAAACATAGTGATTCCTGATGGCTTTTTCATATATCCTTGATGTTGTCTTTCTTCCTTCTTCCCTCTCTTTCCAGCTATATTGACCTCATTTTCCCATCTCCAAGCCTAAATTTTAAGAAGCAGCTTAATCCTAGGTGTCCTGGTGAGATTCCCCCTATAACTCATGAAGACATCTCTTTGTATTCCTTTCATTTCCGTCTCAGGTTGTTCTCATGGGCAACTTCATGTGGCCAGAGTTGTTCAAGTGGATATACCAGAGGGATATACCGACCTATTGCCCTGACCGGCTGATGTGTTCACTTACGTGTCAGGGGTCTGAGTCAGTGGGTGCTGTGGGAGGAACAGAGCAAAGAATGACTGACTGGGAAGAAAGGGCTGAGTATATTCCAGGCTTCACTTCATTCCTCCCACCCGCTCAAAGGACTGAGGCCTTTTCAGAGTGTGCACAGGTTTCTTCCCAATGACATATGGCATTCACTTGGAATGTGGTGGGATCTGAAGAGACTAGAAATAGCGATGGATACCACAGGCATCGTTTACCAAGTGTGTTTCCCATGCCTGTAAAGCACTATGGAGGCTTCTTATTTCACACTGTACACAGTCCTCAGAGGTTAAGTACTACTAATGTCTCACTTTACACTTGAGGAATGGCACTTGCCTAAGGTCACCTAACTAGGAGGAGGACAAGGCGCTCCCAGGTCCTGGTGGTTTTGGCTCTGCTGCAGAGAGGGAAAGCATGGACTCGGGGAATGCTAGAAGCTGCCCAGCACTGTCTGTCCCTAAGATCTTCTCCCCATCAGTAGTCTGTCGCCCTAGGGTATCACTGTGGCTTGCGTGGTTCCCGTTTGTGCTTAACTTTGCTTTTTCTGCCCACATTAGTAGGCCATTGGTTAGCAGAAAGTCCAGATGCTAAGAAGGAGTTCTGATCCCACTGGACCACTCGGAAATTAGGAAAGACAATTCGCTCTTTACCTTTTCATGTAGTAACAGTAGTGAAAAATAATAATAACAACAGGAGTAGCTGTTAGATGGTAGTGATACGAAGCCATCAGCCATCGTGCACTCCAGGCCCTGGACCTCCCGCACCTCGGTCAGCCGTTTACAAGCATTTTCATATGTAGTCTTCACGGTGCCCTTAGAAATAGGTGCCATTTTTCGGGTGAAAAAACACCAAGAGAAATAGTTACCAGTAAGTGATGAGGTCAAGACTCAAACCCCTGAGTCCTTAGCGTCACTTGATGGCTAGGGCTGGGCTTGGGCCTAGGTGGGGACTTACTGCAAAACATGACACCAGGGACTGTTTGAGCCCTGTTTCATCAAAGGGACACTACCAGGAAGCAGCAAGGGAGTTTGTGGCAGTGACTGTGGTCATTGCATACATGGGGAGTTGGGGTACCCTGAAGTCATCAGACTAATGAACTTGCATGTGCGAGTCCACAGAGCAGCTGGAGCTTCCTTTTTATGATGTAGCCTGAAACAGACCAGCCTGTTTGAATCCACACGGACCTCATCACATGCCTGTGTGCTGTGGGTCTTAGGTTAGGCTTATGCTTCCGGGAGAGAAGCAGAACCCAGATAAAAGTGTTTTAAATTGTTTTTAACCCCAGGAACCGAACCTAAGACCCTGCTCATGCTACTCAAGCACTCTGCCATTGAGTCATGTCCCCACCCCACTGAGCTGTACCCTTAGCCTTGGGGGTGGCCTGCAAGTTCTCTTCACTTTCAGTCAGTTCATTTTGTCAGAAGTTAAGATGTTGGTCAGTTTTACTTAGTCGTTAGTATAAATACAAGAGTGAAATCCTTATTTTACAGTTGTAAAAACACAGCATCTTTGGTGGCAGAGAACTGATAGTCTAAACAGAAGCCCATTGCTCTAGGACTTTGTTTCCTCCCTTTTTCTCCCTTTTGGCCATTTTCTTCCTTGGGCCCAGGCCTTCATAGACCAGGTAGTTTGGTCTTTTTTTTCCCTTCCTTTTGTTTACGATTCCCTTTGTTCATTGTTTCATTTCTTCTACTTTTTCTTCATTACCTAACTGTAGTGTCAAGTTAAAAAGAACCTTTCACTACTGGCTGTTCTGTGTACTAAGTAGCATTTGTGTTCTCTTAATTAAAAGAAAACAACGGAATTTTTGATTTATCTGAACAATACTCCCCTTTTGTTTCCTGTGTTCACTAAGGACCAAAGCTTTGTGGAAAGTTCTTGACAAAACTTAAGATGTAGTTTCCTGACTTCTATTTAACTAGAAAATTCAAGACATAAAGCATACTATTCTCTAAGCATACTGGCCAAAGATAATAATTTTAGTATCATCTTGCTGGGATGTTAAACAGTCGCAGAACTGACAGTTTTCTGGAGTTTTAATTCAGAATTGTTCTTTCTAACCCTATACAGATTTTTTAAGGGAATTCAAAATTATAAGTAGACCCCCCCCCAGAAATCAAATTAATAAGCATTTCCCCCTAGAATCCATGATTAATGCATTGAAAGCATTTTAGCTCTTTAAGGGATTTTCTAGTACTGGAAAAATTTGGATAGAAAAAGAGATAAGGTACCCTAAAGAGTGAAAATTCTTTAGTATCTGCCCCCAGAGACTGGGATAAATCAATGCATAGTACTGTCTTGGATTTCTTCTCAAATAAAAAAAAAAAAAAGGTGATTTTTTGGATTAAGATGTGTAAGTTTTTTTTTAATTTATATAATTTTTTTCATACAATATGTTTTCATCATATTCTTTAAAAAAGGAATAAAAACCAAAACTAAAAGAGAGATCAATAATACAAAATATATTGAAACAAAAGCACACATACAAAAATACATGGAGTCTGTTTTGTGTTGGCCAGCTACTCCTGGGCATGGGGCCCACCCTGGAGTGCAGTTGATATACCCAGTGTCACTAGGGAAGTTAATTTTTTATTTATGTTAGTAACTCGAAGCCTTCATAAAAAAAAAGGCTAACCGCTCCTTCTGCTCCTGCCTTACATTTATGGCAACTTTTAAGCCCATTTCTAATAACTGTGAGTTTTTATGCACCTATTGTTATAGTGTTTAAACCATTTAACAAGAATCCTCTTAGTCTTTGAATTAGTACATGTGTTCACATTCTGGATCTTCCTACAGTTATGTTGTGAGGGCCCAAGCCCTTGGGTATGAAGCATGACTGTAATATGACAGTCAGATGATAACGTTCTTTGAGTTCTAGTTTCAGTTTTTTCTCAGATTCCTGTAAACATTACAAAGTTTCAGAAACTACTTACAGAATGTCAATGAGGGTAGCTATTTTTACTTCTGTTTGCCTGTGTTGCCATGAACACAGACCTGACAGATAAGGTCCAGGAGACTAGAGATTACAAAGACAGGGAAAATGTCAAATGAAATTGATGTGCCCACTGAAACTAGGGTTTTAATAAAATCCCATGTTTTGGCCTTAGGTAGGTAATACCTTTATGAGAACTTACCCTGAACTACATGCTGTGTTCTGAAGACACGCTTGTAAAGGACATTCTTTTGCAATATAGTCAAATACGTCAAAACCCTCTAGTGGTCCTCTCAGAAACACTCAGCCCAGAGCAATGGTGGTGTATACCTTCAGTCACAGCACTCAGGGAGGCAGAGGCAGGCAACTCTCTGTAAATTCAAGGCCAGCCTGGTCTACCATAATGAATTCCAGGTACATAGTGAGACCCTGTCTCAAAAAGACCTCCTCCTCTCTCCCCCCAAAAAAAGAACCCTGAGCTCTTAATGTCCTCTGGGCTGACCCCAAGTCATCCCTAAGGCTTCAGCTGCACTGCTGCTCTTAGAGAGACAGAGTCCGGCCACCCCTCTCAAGTCTGTATTATGGCCCATTCTGTGCTTTTCTTCTATGACATTTAAAACTTTGTGGTTGTATGTTCATCTCAGCATTTGTTTACTGTCTGGCTTTTCCTGAAACAGGTTGATGACCTACCTAATCCTAGACATACAGTAGGCTTTCAATAAATATTTGTTAAATGGATGACTGATTTACAGAAGAACAAGGGCAGAAATGTGTGAAAAATGCAAAAACATAAAACCAAACTACAAAAAACAAGAACATGGCCGACAACAACCCAACCAGACTTATACATAAATGCCAAAAATCTACTGAGTAACTAGAACCAGATGGGATTAAGTAAGGAAGATTTGTGGAAACGGATGAGTTTGAAATACTTTGCCATAAGACAGTAGGCAGATGGCAGAAGTTGAGGGCGGTAGTGACTCCTGCTCGTGTTATTTGTGAGGTCGTCTGTTTCTAAATTAGAACATGGAGGGATAGATAGACTGGGTGTTATATGAAAGCTCTTGATAAAATGGCTTCCAAGCAGATGGTCAGAAATTGAGGAGTTTGACTTGAAATTTGTCATCACTCTTCTTTTCTTTTTGATTTGTAGGATGGCCAGCCATTGGCGGGATTGATTCAAGATCACATGGTTTCAGGTGCAAACATGACCACTCGGGGATGCTTTTTCACCCGGGAACAGTACATGGAGCTGGTATACCGAGGGCTCACAGACAAAGTGGGACGGGTGAAACTCTTTCCTCCGGCCATCCTGAAGCCCTTCCCACTGTGGACAGGAAAGCAGGTAATTGGGAGAATAGCAGCCGGTATATATTCTAAAAAGAAATAAGCCACTCATAATAACAGTTTCAATTCCAAGACATCCCAGGCCAGAAACAGAAAAATCTCTAATCATGAAATAATCTGACTTTCCCTTTGCATGGGACCCCAAGGTCTGGAAAACCCAAAGGTGATTTTACTAAAAACAGATTGCATGGTTCCTGTTTATAGATTATAACATAAACTCAGTGTCCACTAATGTCAATGGTGTTATAGTTCTAGTAGTAAGGTTTATTGAAAAATACCGAAGGCTTTGCTAAGTTCATTGATAAAAAAAAATTTTTAGTGCTTAAATCCAACCTTCTCTCTTTAGCAGATAATAATGCTGAGATTTAATGTTAAATTACATTTCAAGGTTATTAGAGGCAGAACTGGAATTCAAACTCATGATTTTTTAATGCCGAAAGTAACCATATAATAGTATGTATGGAAATCAAATGATAAAATTACACTACAGTTCAGAAGTATCAACTTCTAGACTCTTGGCTCTTTATCCATAAAAAGTTGGTTTGAATTAGTCTCTGCAGCCTGCTCCAGCTGTGTAATTCTTAGTCCATGAAAGTGGTTGGGTGGTTTTTTTGTTTTATTTTGTTTTCAAGACAGGGTTTCTCTGTATAGCCCTGGATGTCCTGGAACTCACTCTGTAGACCAGGCTGGCCTTGAACTCGGAGATCCAGCTGCCTCAGCCTCCCAAGTGCTGGAATTAAAGGTGTGTGTCATCACTGCCTGGCTTACTCTGTAAATTGTTTAAACACCATCATTATTTTATGAATGATTGTGTATCCATTTTGTCTCTGTAAAAAGCACCATATGTGAGGAAGAGTTTACTTTAGCTCAGAGTTTCCGAGCTTTCAATTTTGGGAACTTGACTCTGTAGCTTCCAGACCTTTTTGTGGTGAGTCAGAACGTTAAGAGTGGAGCAATTGGTAGAGCAGGACAGGAGACAGAAAAAGAAGGAAGAAGAAGCATCGAAGAGAGGCCCTTCAGGGGCATGCTCCAGGGACATGTGCCTCCTACTGTAGTAGTGGGGTCAGTAAACCCATCCGTGGATTAGCCCATTGATGGAGTTAGCACCCTCAAGATCCAGCCAACTCTCAGTAGCCCCATCAGCTGGGACAAAGCCTTCAACACAAGATCTTCTGAAAGAATGATTCATATCTAAATCAATGCAGCTACTGAATTTAGAATGGCTATTGCTTTTCTCATTGCTGTGACAAAATACCTGACATGGCAGGAAAGGTTGGTGACAGGAACTTGAGGCATCTGTCACATTGCATGCACAGTCAACAAGCATGGAGAGATGGACCCTGGTGCTCAGCTCACTTATGGGGTAGTGCTCCCACATTCAGGGTGAGTCTCTTCGGTTAAAGTTTCCTAGAAATACCTCACAGACACACCCAGAGTAGTGTTTCCATAGTGATTCCAAATCCCATCAAGTTGACAGGTTTTTTTTTTTTTTTTACTTTATTGTGTGCGTGCGTGCGTGTGTACAGGTGTTGTGGCACTCTGGTGAAAGTCAGAGGACAACTTTTAAGAGTTAGTTCAGAATATTGCTGTCACCCTACAAGAAATCCTGTTATCTGTTAGTGGTCATTAGTGATCAGTCCCACTTCCTCCCCCCACTTCTAGTCTCTATGACTTTGCCTAATTTGTGCATTTCATCTAGGTCATATTATACAATAAGGCTTTTGTAACATGCTTCTTTGATTTTATATAGTGTTCTGAAGGCTTACCTATTTTTTGATGGCCAAAGAACATTCTGTCGTGTGGACATACTATATTCTGTTTATTCATTTTCAGTAGAGAACGGATAATTAAGGTTGTTTCCACTTCTTGGGTAGTGTAAGTAAAGCTGCAGTGGACTTTTCCACCCCCACCTCGTAAGCATGTGTTTTCAGTTTTTTAGTGTATTACTAAGGTTAGAAACATACTGCAATTCTGCATGTTATACTCTGTGGTTTTTGAGGAACATCAAGCTGTTTTTCAAAGTTGACATAGTTTATATTTCTACCAGCAATATAGATGGATTCACTGTCTTTTTGACAAATGTCTGTTCAAGTTACTATGGTATTTGTCTTTTTAGTGAGTTGTAAGAATTTTTTATATATTCTGACCATTAACATCATTACATCATGTAAGTAATTTATAAATCTTTTCTCCAGTTCATGGAATATTTTTCTATTTTCTTGTCATTTGGCAAAGTTTAAATTTAGATAAAGTCCAATTTGCCAACTGTTTTTGTCACTTATACTTATTGTCACAATTAGCCATTTTATTGGTTTAGCTATGAATTTAGGTATTGGATCCATTGGGTTAACTTTCATTTGTGATGTAAGATGAGGATCAAAATTGACTCTTGGATATATATATGTGTGTGTTTTTTTCCCAGCACCAGGTGCTGAGAATATTGATCTTTTCAATTGAATGTCCTCAACACTAGATCTAAAAGCAATTACTTGTAAATATTTCTTTCTGAACTCATTTATATTGCATCTGTTAGTGTGTCTATCTTAATGCCACTGCCATGCTTCCTTGTTTCTGTAGCTTTGCAGTGAGATTTAAGATCAGAATGAGTCTTCAGCTCTGCTCTTCTGTTTTGAGATTGCCTGGCTGAGGTTCTTTGCATCCCCATTATTTTGGAGCCCTTTTCACTTCTCAGCAGTGTGCTATCATCTTTATTGCTAAGTGTCTTGTTTTATATGTATCTATGTGCCTGTTTGTTCGTATGTGCCGCATATGCGTTCAGCCACCCATGGAGACAAGAAGAGGGCATCAGACCCCCTGGAACTGAACTCCCAGGCGTTAGTTGAGAGGTGCCTGACTAAGGCACTAAGAACTGAACCTGGGTCCTGTGCAAGAACAGCAAGGGCTCTTATCCTCTGAGCCATTTGCCCTTGAGGGGTTAAATCTTAAACTGTTGTTAGGGGTTTTTGCATGTGTGTCAAGGTCAAAGGACAGCTTGCAAGAGTCAGTTCTCTACCATGTGAGTCCTGGAGATTAAGCTCCGGTCTTCAAGTTTAGTAGCAAACATCCTTACCTGCTGGGGAGTCTTACAGGCCCTTCTTTGGTTAAATTTATTCCTGAAGTACTTGATTCGTTTTGGTGCTTTATGTGTGAATTTTGTTGTCAGATTAATTTTGAGACTGATTGTTGCCAAAACATGGTGGCATTATTGCTCCTGTAGGTTGATCCCCTTCATCTTCACTGGAGTAATATACTAGCTATGATAATGATAATTTTGGTAGAATGCTGAAGAACATCCTCTGTATTCCATAGTTTTGCTCTTTCTGTTCCAATCTGAGCGCATTTTGTTTTCTTACCCAACCTTCCTAGCAAGAACCTCTAGTACACTATTTAGCAGCAATGGCAAAAGTAGACGACCTTGTCCTGCACCTGATTTTAGGTAGGAGCGTGCAGACTTTCACTGAGTATGCTAGCAGTGGTTTTGCATAAATGCTTCTTCAGGTTGTAAATATTTATTCCTAGTTCTTAGTCCGTGGCTTTTTCTTCATCGTTAGATGTTCTTTCTATTGTAGGTGAGATGGCAGGCCATATTTCTGTATGTGAGAGATTGGTTATGTCTGTTACCTTACACCAAATTCCAGTCTTGACTGTGTCCAGGCTGGCATCCCCCACTATCCATATGTTGTTTTGATTAAGGTACAGTTTATGGCAAGCAGCCCATACTTTCTGCTCCTACTCCTTACCCCATCCCCCTCAGTCTGTAGAGCTGAGGTTTGGGAAGAGTGAGCCTTCTGATTGTCTTCTGTTCCAGAAACAGTGTTATCTGCTTTCTTTATTTTTATTTCTTACATATTTTTATTTGTTTACTCTCACATGCACAGGTATTTTGTTTGCTTGTGTATCTGTGCACCGCATGTATGCAGTGCCCTGTAGAGGCCAGAAGAGGGCATCAGATTCCCTGGAGTTACAGGAGGTTAGCTGTCATGTAGGTGCTAGAAATTGACCCAGGTCCCCTTTAAGAGCAGTCAGTGCTCTCAACCACTGAGCCACCTCTCCCACCTCTCCCCAATGCCTGCAACACCTGCTTATTTGCCCCCAGCCCGCTCACTCTGTGGGAATGTGCTTGGCAACCCTCCTAAGCTGGTCCATTGTTGTCCCCAGAGACACCTGCCTCCCTGTGTACAACACCTGCTTGACAATGCGCCTCTCCTGGCCTTCTGTCAGCAACTGTTTGCCAAGTGATAACTTTTCTGGTTGACTTGGGAAAGACACCCTGACCTTTCAGTACTAAAATTAATTCTAGTTACATCAATTTACTTGTGGCATTTAGTGCCATAAAAGCTGATTGGCATCAGGTGATGGGCTTATCAGTCATCCTTATCAGTGTGACACTTGCTTTCGAAGGCATTTACTTTGTTCAGAGTGTAGACTGGGAATTATTTATAGTAAATGGACCTGCATTTATTTTCCCAAGATTCCTGTTACAATCCTCGCCCTACCCCCACCCCAGGGGGATAGTATTGCAGGATGAGGCCTTTGGGAGATGTTTTAGGTCATGGGAGCAGAATGAATGGGATTAGCATCTTTGTAAGTCTTCCAAGCACTCCTTCCACCAAGTCAAGGAGAGTAAGACGTCTCTGTTTATGAACTAGAAAGCTTGACCCTCCCCAGACTCCTAGTCTGCCTTATTTTGTCCTTTTCTGTTCCCATAACTATAAGAAGTAAATTCATATTCATGCTCTATGCAGTTTAGGGTATTTAGGTATAGTAGCCCAAGGCAGAACACATCAAAACCTGCCAGATACTCTCCTTCTCACCCAGACTAAGCCTTTCTACCCATCCTTCCTGCCCCTTGCCTTGAAACACGTGATCTAGGCCCTGACTGCTCTGGTCTTCAGCACCGCTGACTGAGGCCTCCCCTGGCTACCTTATTAAAATCACGATGCCCTCTTGTTCTCTGTGGTGAGTTGCCTTTCCTTGTTCTGTTTTCCTCGAGAGCACAGACCCCTAGGGAGTCGTGGCTCCAAGGAGCTTCCCCCTCTCCTCAGTGCTTGGCTCATAGCAATTGGTATACAATTGCCAAATGACTGAATGTATCTTGTCTGAAGGCCGTGTACTAGATCGGAATGTGCCCCTCATGTATGACCCACACCGGGACATCCCAATCCTGGTGCCTCACCCTGCGGCCTGTTTCTCAGATGTTTCGGGCCGCCCATGGGACGCTCCTCAGTCAGTTCCCTGCTGTGGCCCTACCTTGTTTACTTAGATTAAGCTCTTGTGCAGAGAGCAAGTTACTAAACACAGTAGTAACTTTCACTGTTTGAGGATGACTGAGGAGGTGTGCCAGCTTTCCATTTTGGCAGGTGAGGAGTGTTAGAAGCCTTACCATCTCAACTTTGCTAACTCTTCACTTCTGTTATTTTACCACATTACCAGGCACTGACCCCAAAACAATTATCCTTCCTTTGGCCTGTTCAGAAATGTAATGCAATTCTCAGAGATTGCTCACTTTAAGATCAAGTATTTTAGGGAGTAAAAATCCTAATGAAGTTTTAGTATATTTTTGGCGAGCTTGGTTTCAGAGCACCTGATTGCTTTACTGTGCCTTGAGAGCATGAGAAGTGACATTGGAGGAGGGTAGTTGTCTCTTCTCCTTCCATCATCTTGTCCTCTTTTCCTCCAGGTTGTGTCAACCCTTCTCATAAACATAATCCCAGAGGACTACAGCCCCCTGAATTTATCGGGAAAGGCAAAAATCGGCAGTAAAGCCTGGGTGAAGGAAACTCCACGGCCTGTCCCTGACTTTGACCCTGACTCCATGTGTGAGTCCCAGGTATGGCTGCTCTTTATAAAGCTGATTTCTGTTCCTGTTGGTAGATTGACTTAAAACAAACCCAGAAACTGATTCTGTGCCTCAGAAGACAAATTTTGTCCAAGGTGGTATCCTCCTTTGTTTAAGAGTGGCCGAGGTTGCTCTGTGCCTTCTGGCCCTCAGAATGAAATGCCTGCTGATTTGGGAAGGCTTCCCAAAACCTGGTGCAGATTCTTCAGTGCTTACATGTAGAGGCCATGTTTTCTTTCAAGACCTGAGTGGTTTCAGTTAACCAAATGCCTGCTCCAAACATTCAGGCTTGGGGAAGGCCCGGGTGGTCACTCCCAAGTGCTTTGTGGCTGTGAGAACACACCGACACTTAACATCGGCCTCTGTGTGTTCTTGGTGAACAGGCATCTAAAGTCTGCAGCTGGCTGTATATTTTTAACAGGACCTGCTTTCCCTGTCCCTGTCTCTTCCCTCTGTTGTGTTGGGTATTGAACCCAGGGTCCCCTGCATGCTTAGCATGAACTCAACCAGTGAACCCCATCCCCTGCCCTATGCCAGGACTAACAAATGTCCTGTGAAGACCCAGAGCAGTTACTTCTTTTCCCTGTATAGATAACAGCTTACTGTGTGCAGTCAGAAACTTAGCCAGTGTCCGTCTCCCTTTTAAAATATGTGTTAGTTTCCTATATTCCCTCCTTTTTTCCCTGGGGGATCTGAGGCAGGCCTCAGTAGAGGGACATACACAATAAAGCTAATAATACGTGACTTGGTGGCTCCTCCAAGAGATGGCGCCTGCAGCCTGGCATTGGTGACCTCTCCCTACACAGGTGATCATCAGGGAAGGGGAGCTTCTCTGCGGAGTGCTGGACAAGGCCCACTACGGGAGCTCTGCCTATGGCCTGGTCCACTGCTGCTATGAGATCTATGGGGGCGAGACCAGCGGCAGGGTTCTCACTTGCCTAGCCCGCCTCTTCACTGCCTACCTGCAGCTCTATAGAGGTTTCACCTTGGGTAAGTACTGGCTCATGGCCCTGGCTCTGCTGACCCTGCAGGCTGGCATCTGAGCTGTTTGCGTGGTGGCTGTTTAGGCTCTTCCCTTCAGGGCTCTTCATCCTGTCTGACGTTCCACATACACGGTTCCTTTCCCCACCACAGCACAGAGCAGTCCTTCCCATCCTGCCCCTTTCCTCACCCCACCTTTATGATAGAAGAAGCTCCCACACCCAGCTCACAAGTGGAGAGCAGACCTAACCAACCGTCACGTGGCACCAATAGGAATGGCACAGCGCTCCGATGATCCAGATGCCACAAAGCCAACAGAGGAAGCAAGGCCAGGCTAGGAGGGAGTCAGCCTCAAGGGAGGGCTGGCTAACCTCATTCCAGCCCACTGAGACAAAGGTCATCATTACAAGGATGACCCGGATGTGACCTCATGGCAGGGCCTATGGTTTTGGCTTCCACGGAGAGGAATCTTTTCTGCTCAAATGTAGTCTTCAGAAACCTCCAAGTTTCTAGGCTGTTGTACTGGGATTCCAGGTGTTGGTTCTAGTTTTTAAATAGTCAGTTGTTGCCTTCCCACCCAAACCTTGGCTGGGGGATTCTTAAGTCTGAAGCATTCACAGGTAGAAACAAAATATCGTTGGGTTTGAAAGAAGTTACTGTTTCTGAGACATTGCTGAGAACCATTTGACTGCTGCCCATAGTTGACATGGGTGTGTACTTGGTTGATATGGGTGTGTACTTGCATATTCACAGCTGTACATAGGGCTCCTGGGATGCTCACTGTCAACCTCTCTTCTGCCACTGAACAGCTTTTTAACCAAAGTCTCTAGCTGGATATAGCCAGCCTCTGGCTAAAAGACACTTTGTAACTCACTCAAGCCTAGGCTTACTATCTACCCATATACTCTCAATAGTAAGCCTTGATTTTATCACTTATGAAATGTGCAGGCTTTCTTAAGCATACACTGATGTTATATCGCTCGTCCAGGGCTTCCTGTATCTGTGACTCTCAGCTTTGGATCTGAGCATCACCAAGTTTACAAGCCAGTGAGACTTTAGGCCTGGGCCCTGTTGAACTTATGTGTTTGACTTTGCAGGTGTAGAAGACATTTTGGTTAAGCCAGATGCAGATGTAAAGAGACAGCGCATCATTGAAGAATCTACCCAGTGTGGGCCCCGGGTAAAGAAGAGGGCCGGGAGGTTGTGACCTGCTGTCCAAAGGCCAGTTATCTTACAGACTAAAAACCACATCCTCCTTTGGCTACCCCCTCCTGTTCCTTTCTTCATTCTAGGCTGTCAGGGCTGCGTTGAACCTGCCAGAAGCTGCATCATGTGATGAGATCCAAGGGAAATGGCAGGATGCCCATCTGGGCAAAGACCAGAGGGATTTTAACATGATTGATATGAAGTTCAAGGAGGAAGTGAACCACTACAGCAATGAGATCAACAAGGTTAGCCTAGCCCTAAAATGCACAGATCCCCATCTTTTTGAATGCTGTTTTTTGTTGATTTGTTTTTAATTACATTTGGATTCTCACCTTGGACCCTTTAGAGCAGTCTGACTATTTAACAACTAAGTAGGCGAGGTTTGAAGTTGGGTAGACTCCATCTTTGTGACGAGCTCAGGGTCTCATTCCCTCCATTGGAGTTCTGGGAAGGCCTTGGGTTCATGCTAACAAGGAAACGCTTTGTGCGACATTTCTAAATGTGCTTGCTTTGGAATTGCTGCATTAACGGGGACTGAAGAAAGGAGCTGGGCTGTAGAACCACTCCACTGTAGGTGGATGCGTAGACTGAGGGGCAGAAGCCATTGCTATGCGGTAGAGCCAGGGGTGAATGCTGGCCTCAAGTTCACATTGTACTGGGTAATTGCTGTGTGACCTTACGTGAGTCCTGTGACAGGGCTCCTAGAAGCAGGACTCCTAGGACACCTACATAAGTGGTGTGACAGGGCTCCTAGAGGCAGGTATGTGAGGCGCGCTGCTTCACAGTGCCTGCAGAGAGGGTTAGGCACATGTGCAGTGCCAAGCCCAGCTGTGGCAGTTCAGGAGGAGAGGGAATCTGCCTAGGTTGAGGTCACAGCTTGCTTCTCCCTGTGCTCCTGCTCCAGAGCCTGAACTCCCTACCCTGTGGTTTGGAGGAGGAGCCAGCCTGGCTTCCACTCTGCCTGATAGACCCTGGGGCCCAGTCTGAGGAAAGAAAGGACAAGGCTATCATGCAACATCAGAGTTTGTCTGTGGGTTCCCTTCCTGCCTTTCAGCATTCTTCTGGTGACCTAGGAGATAGCTTTCCTCAATAGAAGTTCTTATTCAGAGGGGCCTTCTAGCACAGCCTGGGAAAGCAGGAAGGAGCCGTGTCCACAGGGTTGATAGAGCACATCTTAGAATAGCTTCTTGTCCCCCAGCTCCCACTTCCTGCCCTCTGCCCCTCCTGTGTTGACTAGGGTGTCTGGATCCCCAGGCAAAGGCTTAACAGGTTCAGAACCCATGTCATTGCCCCCAGGATCTCTTTACCTTCTGAATGTGGAATTTCAGAAAAGATGAAGTCACTGACCAGTGTGTTGATTTAATCCACAGGCATGTATGCCTTTCGGCTTGCACAGACAGTTCCCCGAGAACAACCTGCAAATGATGGTGCAGTCAGGAGCCAAAGGGTCAACCGTGAACACGATGCAAGTATGAGCAAAAGCACCTTATCCAGTGTGCCAGAGGGGTGGGCTGCTGTCAGGAGTCAGCTTTCTGCTTCATTTCTGATTTTAAAACATCTTCAATCCATACAAAATCTAACTGAGAAGACTGAAAAACACTAAAGCATATAGATATCAGTGCAGGAACGATCCAGTGTCAGTGCTGGAGACAGAGTTGATAGAAATATGCAAGTTGGTTATGTACCACATGGAGATGTATTATAACATTGTGCTGTATATATGCATGTATTATATCTGCACACTGTGTGTCTGTGTAAAATTTCAGTATAGATCTTGATGTTTAAATAAGGAGATGGCTCAGTAGATTTTGTGCTTCACAAGCCCAAGGACCTGAGTTCAGATCTCTAGAACACCCCCCCGACACACACACAAAATTTTGTTTTGTTTTTGTAGTATTGTTCCTTCAACACTTTTTTAAAATTTATTTTTTATATCCCAATCCCAGTATCCCCTCCCTCCTCTCCTCCCACTTCCTCTACTTCCCCCTCCTCCAGTCTGCTCTACAGAGAGGGTAAGGCCTCCCCTACGAAGTCTACTAAGTCTGTCCCTTCATCTAGTTGAGGCAGGATCAAGGCACCTCCCCACCCCCACACCCCTGTGTCTAGGCTGGGCAAGGTATCTCTCCTTATAGAGTGGCTCGACTAAGTCAGTTTGTGCATTAGACACATACACAGTCTTTTTTGGTTTTTCAAGACAGGGTTTCTCTGTGGTTTTTGGAGGCTGTCCTGGAAATAGCTCTTGTAGACCAGGCTGGCCTCGAACTCACAGAGATCAGCCTGCCTCTGCCTCCCAAGTGCTGGGGTTAAAGGCATGCGCCACCAACGCCCGGCTCACATACACAATCTTATGATTTTGCATGACCTACTTTCTTCATTTACTGTTGCATTATAAGCATTCTTCTAAAGGATCCTTGAGTCTCATTATCTTCCCAGAGTTTCCTGGTACTATGGAGACATTTTCACAAATCTTAGTGCCTGTTTTGGTGTAGGTTTTTTGTTTTCAATCCTGACGACCTTGAGAGACTCTAAGGGACATGTGCCATTGTTCAGTAAGCACCGAGACACAGAGTGGGCTTAAAGGCTGAACACCTTGCCAAAGCCCACTAACTAAAGGGAAATATAGATGCATCCCCACAGGAGTATTCACGAGCGGTTTCCTAAGCATACGGATGAGTGGGTTGACTTCTCTCCAGCTCTAGGATTAGTTTTTCCTGTGGACTTCCATTTCCCTGTGGACTTCCATTGGAACTTTTCTTAGGGTTTTTATTGCTGTGATAAAAGCAGCTTGGGGAGGAGTTTATTTCATCTTAGAACTCTCAGGTCATACTCAATGGCTAAGAGAACACAAGTAGAAACTCGAGGCAGGACCTGGAGCAGAAGCCGTGGAGGATACTGCTTACTAGCTGGTCCCCCATGGCTTGCTCAGCATGCTGTCTTATTCAACCTAGGACAACCTGCCCAGGGGTGACACCACCCCCAGTGAGCTGGGCCCACCCACATTAATCATTAACAAAGAAAATACAGTACAGACTTGCTTCCAGGCAACCTGATAGAGGCATTCTCTTAGATGAGGTTCCTCTACCCAGATAATTGTAGCTTGTGTAAAGTTGTCAAAAAAACAACCAGGACAAACCTTTCAGGTCCTTCCAGGTATAACATGATGATTCTAAGTCACAGCTCTTTTCTAAGCATCTCTTGTTCTCAGCTGTCCCCAAATGGGAAAAACAAGCCAAAGCCAACTTTTTCTTGAAATGTGTTTCCATGACTCGTTTAAACATCTAGTTGACATTCTAGATCTATTTCTGGATGCTTTTCTTGAAGGAGAGCTGAATGTTCTGTTCACACAAGTGAAAACTTGAGTGTCGTTTGTATTTCCTTTCTCCAGATCTCTTGCCTGCTGGGCCAGATTGAGTTGGAAGGTCGGAGACCCCCGCTGATGGCATCTGGCAAGTCACTGCCCTGCTTTGAGCCTTACGAGTTCACACCTAGGGCTGGTGGCTTCGTCACTGGAAGGTTCCTTACTGGCATCAGGCCTCCCGTATGTGTATTTTTAGTATTTTCCCTCCGTTTTAGACCTAGTAGTGGTGACCTATGACCTTATCAATAACAACCTAAGAACAGTCAAGTGAAAAATGGTAAAGGCTAGACCACAGGTTCCAAGAACACATCGGCACCACATGGTGATTACCATTGTGATACTACAGTTAGCAAAGTGCTAACACATAGTAGGCATGTCATACATGTTTAGTGGTAAAATGAAAAGATTGAGTCAAATGTGGTGGCTCATCCTGTAATCCCAGTATTTACCCAAGGAAGGAAGATTGTCATGTTTGAGTCCAGCCAAAGCTGCATAGCAAGTCCTTGCCTCAAAAGAAAATAAAAAGACTAGCATGATCTTGGCCTCACCCTTGGCTATGATGTAGCCTCTCTAAGCCAGTTCTTTGCTGCTTCAGAAGTAGCTAGAAAAGGGAGTATCAGTCACCAAGGTCTCATGTCACTAAAAGGAGCATGATGGAGATTAAATTCAAATTTTATGAAGTCCCCATTTTCCATTCCCTCCCCTCACTCCATAATAGTGGGACATCTGTAGAAGGTACCTTATTCTGCTTCAGCAAATACATTCCTTAGGGGAATGGTCTTTTGCATGTTAGTACCTTGGTTCCATGGTGTCGTGCATGTCTAAAAGAAGGCCACGTCTAGAGGGAACTATTCCAAGGCTGCTAAATACTCCATTGACTCCACTCAAGCATTCCCAGGATCATCCACAGCCTATAGGCAAGAGATGGTAATGGGTTGATGTAGTCTAGAATATTTCAAATTCTGAGAGTTAGAGGCCAGCCTGGTCTACATAGTGAGTTCCGGGACGTCCAGAGTTACATAATAGAGAGACCCTGTCTCAAAAAAAGAAAAAATAGTTGTAGTAGATAGTGTTCAGAATTCCTTTATGTAATAAAACAGAGTAGAGTGGTAAAGAAAATATAGTCTGTCCTATGTAATAAGTGATGAGATAGTATCATAAAAATTTACCTTGAGTTCTCTCTCTTAGTGTGTTTGCATGTATGTGGTATGTGTGTGCATGTTTGCTGATGGATGTTGTAAATGTATTCTTCCTGTGATGAAAGTCAAAATTTTGGAAAAGCTATGTAGACAATAATATTTCAAATTCTGACTCCCATCCGTCAGTGTATCAAGAAATCATTGAGCTGGGCATGTGAGCTATCGTATAGCCCACAATGTAATCCCAATTAAAGCTCACAACTGTAATCTCAATTAGTCAGGAGCCTGAGGCTGGAGGATGACAAATTCAAGGTCAGTTTGTACTACATATAAAGAAAGCCCTTATCTCAGAACCAAACAAAGAGAAGTTTGGGAAACACCTTAATTGCTGGATCCAAGCATGGAATTTATAGGATGTTATTGAGCATTTGCTTTGCTTCTCACTGGAAATGTGGCATGAAGTGTCTTGAGGATGGCATAGTACATGTAGGGCTTTCAGCTCCTGCTGCTTTTGATCCACCTCTACCTCAGGCAGGGAAGAGAGGGATCCCAAGGCTTGTGAAAGCTAGGGTTCTAGGATCTCTGGAGGGAGCAGTCTGCATGGCTCGGGAAGGGTGCGTGGGTGGCACCTGAGTGGCCTTCTAGGGAGTACACTGTGCTCACTGCCACCTCTGAGGTTTGGCTCCCACACTCCCGTAGGAGTTCTTCTTTCACTGCATGGCGGGACGAGAAGGCCTGGTGGACACCGCTGTCAAAACCAGCCGGTCTGGCTATCTCCAAAGGTAAAAGCACCTGTAGCCTCTGGTGAGCGGGGTTGGTTTCCCAGGACCTTGCACTTGTCACGTGTCACTGAGGATTCTTTGGATGATACAGTCGCTTTTAAATGACTCCTTGTGTGGCCTGAGACAGAAAATAGCACAGAGTGTTACTACATTACTGGTCAGCATGCCCTCAGACGTTTACACAGCAGACCCTGTACTCTGCAGGCCTACATGTGCCAAACCTGTGTGCTGCGTGTACTTCAAAACATCTGTGAACACAGCCCAACACAAAATTGGGACCTAAACATTATGAGATTCCTTATGCATATATAAAGCTCGGTTACCCAGTTCTCAGGGTGAACTTTGTAGATGACAACATGATGAGCAGGGTCAAAAGGTTGGGCATATCTGGTTGGCAGTGGTGAGTTCGTCCTTTGTTTGAGAGGCTCAGCAACCTGGAGTAAGTAGAGTGCTGGAGTAACAGGTGTCCCCCTGGGAGGTCACCAGCCAAGACCTCTTCTGCCCTCTGGTAGAAAAGGCTAGGTCATGTACCTAGCCTTGTTATGAAGGTGGCAGGATTGAATTTTAAACCGAGACAAAGCCCAGCTAGAGGGAGCAGTCATGCAGGCAGCAGTCCCTGCACTCTGGTGTCCCATGTACATGGCTGTCCCAGGTCTGTCCCTGCCCTCCCCCTCCACGGTGCAGAGTGGGAGGTTCAGCCTCTGGGGATTTTTGTCATGGTTCTTTCTGAGCTCAAAGGACATTCGATTCTGAGAATAATGATGGGATGGAAAGCATGGAGACCCCATACCTCTCCAGCTGTTCTGCTGAGCACTGGAGTCAGGGTGACAGGCAGCACAGATCCTCCATGTCTTTCCCTCACTGGTTACTGCTTTGACATTTCCCCTGTTTCTGAACTCAGACTTGCCAAGCCTGCCTACCCTGTTCTAGTCTCTTCCTCCTTGACTCAATGGCAGTAGTGTAGGGAGGACAAGAGTAACATTGAGTGGAGACACTCCTGAGTGGCCCGTTGGTAAGAAGCCCACCTGCAGAGCTGGCAGTGCCCGAGCAGGTCAGGGGAGTCAGGTCGGTCCCCTTCCTTCCCAGGAACTGGCCTAACCAATTCCTCTGTATGAGCAGATGTTGAACCTCCCTTCACCATAAATTGTTCAAGGATGCACGTGGAGTGTAAGAAAAACTGGGAAGCACATGAGCGGTGAACTCTGGGCATGATAGAATCCAAGCATGGGACCCCGTAGAATTAAGAGTGAACAGCAAGAGAATGTCACTGTCCTCTCAGAGCCCCTGGGAGGTGTTTACCTGTGGGCGCTGAGCAGGGTGTCTCCTCACAGGTGCATCATCAAGCACCTGGAGGGGCTGGTCATCCAGTATGATCTGACAGTCCGAGATAGCGACGGCAGCGTGGTACAGTTCCTGTACGGGGAGGATGGCCTGGACATCCCCAAGACACAGTTCCTGCAGCCCAAGCAGTTCCCCTTCCTGGCCAGCAACTATGAGGTAAGGTCAGACTCCTGTGCCTTTGGGTGGTGGCTAGGGTCCCGTTACTCCATCCATGTGACCATGAGAAAAACTGTGAGTTTGTAAAGTCCCACCAGTGTCTTGAAGCATTTGATATCTTCAAAGCTCCTGCTAACCATGACCACATGAGGTCATGGCAGCACATGCAAGTAGTCTTGGTTCTTGGTGCAGTCTAGGGCTGTAGCAGAACTCTACAGTGCTGAGGCAGCTGAATGCTGAAGCTAGGGTAGCCAACTGGTGAGAGGCAGAGTCAGGGTTTGAACACAGCCTACTTTACACACATCTGTAACTTGTACATTCCTTAATTCAGTTACCCTGAAACCATCATGAGCTGTCCAGGACTTAGTGGTTTTTGTTGTTGTGTTTTTTATTGTTTTATTTATTTATTTATTTTGTTTGTTTTCAAGACAGGGCTTCTCTGTGTAGCCCTGGCTATCCTGGAACTCTGTAGTCCAGGCTGACCTTGAACTCACAGAGATCCTCCTGAGTACTGGCATTAAAGGTGTGGTGTTCTACCACCACTGGACCAGGACTTAGTTCTGATGGCAGGATTAAGATCTCACTCTCGGCTGGGCCCTCGTCTGTGTTGTGCCTGTCTCAGTACCTGGGCCATCTTTTCCTCTTACCAAGGCTGCCCTGAATGAGCTGTTCCCTCTCCTCTTAGTGAGGACTTTACTCGCCAGTGGGTGCTTGATCCCTCCAAGAGGTGTTCTGAGGGCTCTTATGTACCTTGGGTGCCTTGAGTAATGCAGTGTGACCCACCTTTCATGCTGTCATCCTACCTGTGTGGTTTGTTTCTTTGTTTGTTTAGGTGATAATGAAATCCAAGCATCTCCATGAAGTTTTGTCCAGAGCAGATCCCCAGAAAGTGCTCCGCCACTTCAAAGCCATTAAAAAATGGCATAGCAAGCATTCCAATGCACTGCTGAGAAAAGGCGCCTTCCTGAGTTTCTCCCAGAAGATTCAGGCAGCTGTGAAAGCCTTGAACCTACAGGGCAAGAACCAGAATGGTCGCAGCCCAGAAACCCAGCAGGTAACATGGGGAAACTGTTTCCTAAGTGCCTGGCATGCTCTGGCCTCAGCTAGAGAAAGAGTAAGTTTCTCCATAATAAAGAATGATACTAATCAAGATGCCAGTGGCGGCCATGTGAGAATATAACTAGGAGACTCACTAGAGAGTGTGAGTAGTAGGGCTTGAAGAGATTACTTGGGCTGGTGATTGAGGTTCTTCACACCAGGCATGAAGGGTCAGGGAGATCAGAGGAAGGGCAGCTGCGAGCAGAGCTCTGGGAAGAGATGTTAGAGAGAGGGCCAGCCTAGGTTGGGGAGAGAGGTGCTAACTGGCATTTGGTAGTCACCTCACTCCAAGTGTCCTGGTTGCCTGGGACAGTTATTCTCCTCTTATCATTCCGTGATCATGAACACTGCCTGTTGGACTCCAAAGGAATCCCAGTTTGACAGTAAATGATGATGTCATGACCCTGCCATGCTTCAGACAAACCAGGATGAATTGCCAAAAGCATTCTGGTCAACAGCATGCCTTGGGACAGAATCTGTTCTCCTGTTTTAAATGTTGAGGTGGCTCTTACCTCACCACAGCCAGGTTTCTGCCTTGCATTTTTCTTTCATCCAAAGCCAACTCTTTGAGTCTTCTTGTGCCTCTGGCTATGCCTGGAGTTGATGGTGCCTTCCCAACTAGCTAAAATACATCTTGCCGTCTGTTCAGATGTTACAGATGTGGTATGAATTAGATGAGAAGAGCCGATGGAAATACCAGAAGAGGGCCGCTCCTTGTCCTGACCCTAGCCTGTCTGTGTGGCGCCCAGACATCTTCTTTGCATCTGTGTCTGAAACATTTGAAAAAAAGATTGATGACTACAGTCAGGAGTGGGCAGCCCAAGAAGAGAGGAGTTACAAGAAATCAGAGCTTTCTCTCGACAGGTGAGGACATTGATCAGTGTGATGGCGTATGGGCCTCCTGACCCACTCCAGAAGAGGAAGGCAACTTCCACCTGCAATCCAGAAGGTTGCATTTGCCTTCAAAAGCACCTAGAAGAACATGTATGGACATGTAGCTCTGTGCCTTCCTCCACATATGCCCTGCCCTCCACACACAGCTGTTCATACTCATCCCAGTTTGTTGAACCCCTTGTAAGACAGTGGTTGTTGCTAATGGGCCAGCCATCTGGGAAGGATGATTAGTACATTGCAGTTACGCAGTGCAGATACATGTAATAGGATCTCCACATGCAGGCGCACACCTCTAACTCTGACTGCTTGGTAAACCCAAACCTATTTCCAGTTTGTTCAGCAGGAAGTGTAAGCCTTCTCCAAACTTCTCTTGCTGGTGTGGGGGGGATATGAATGGTCCCCCAAATAACCACTGCTCAGAGGCCTGTTTACTGGTCTGGCAAGTACAGATGATGTTCTGCGGCAAACCTGAGCAATTAAAACAAGGAAGCAGCTAGAGCTTTGTGTCTCTGGTTTCTGGTGATGGGCAGTCTGATATTTGTTCTTGATCCCTGCTGTCCCCTTCTATCTCCAGGCTGAAAACCTTACTGCAGCTCAAGTGGCAGCGCTCACTGTGTGACCCAGGGGAGGCTGTTGGCCTACTGGCCGCCCAGAGCATCGGGGAGCCCTCCACACAGATGACACTGAACACCTTCCACTTTGCAGGCAGAGGCGAAATGAACGTCACCCTGGGTATTCCAAGGTATGGGTCGCAAGGGTACATACACACTGTGCAGCTGTGAGGTCTGCTGTAATTCTCATGAGTTATTTTATGAGAGGGACAGGGAAGGGGAGCTGGTGAGTGAGAGATTAGGTCTCCTCTTAGTAAAGATCCTCAGTTGATTCGGAGCCTGAGTAGTTTCTGTGGCTAGATGTTTAGGATCTCTGTCATTCCATTTTCTAACAGATTGACTGTGGATAGCTTCCCCAACTTCTCTCCCATGACTGCAGGAGGCTGAGCCCATAGACTATGGGGCTAAGGGTGGCAGAGCTCAGTGAGAGTGCTGAGAGCATCTCTCATCCATTTGGTAAGCTCTAGCTACTGAATGCTAAGAATGGTGAAGGAAGCAAGCCTTAGCTATAACTGCACAGTAGGAGCCAGTACTGCCCGAAAGAATCTGGCGGGAGCAGACTGATAAAACATATTCCCCTGTAATAAATGTCCCAAGGCTTCTCATACCACAGATGACCTCTGCCATCTTTAAAAGAGGTTTCCAGCAAACAAAATCTGGTTATGTCTGATGAGATGTGTCCTTATTCTTTGACAGACTGAGGGAGATTCTTATGGTGGCCAGTGCCAACATCAAGACACCCATGATGAGCGTGCCTGTGTTTAATACCAAGAAAGCATTGAAGAGAGTCAAGAGCCTAAAGAAGCAGCTTACCAGGGTGTGCCTGGGGGAGGTAACTGTCTCTCATACAGGAATTCATGCTGGGTGGAGGCCTAATCCTGCGTCCTCCCACCCCAATAGAGCAGCCAGCTGGCAGGGGAGCCCCAGCCTTCCACCAGGGAGACAGATGCTGTCTCTGCCAGGTGCAAAGCAGGAAGAAGCTTTTAAGATGATTGTCAATTCCATAGCTTCTGCCTGAAGAATGCAGTAAGAGTGCTCCCAGGTTAACTTAGCACACTGCAGGAGTCACACTCTGGAAGTGCTTTCTAGGCTGTACACTCTCCAGCAGAGCTCACCAGGGTTTCTTTGGAGTCTGGGGCCTGAATGGGTCAGACTCTCTGTGTTCATCTGATTCCAGGTATTGCAGAAAGTTGACGTCCAAGAGTCTTTCCATATGGGAGAAAAACAGAACAGATCCCGGGTCTATGAGCTCCGGTTTCAGTTCCTGCCACATGCATATTACCAGCAGGAAAAGTGCCTGAGACCTGAGGACATCTTACACTTCATGGAAACCAGGTCAGCACTCAGCTGTGTTCGTTTTTGACTTTGCCCATGATGCACTCCTGGCAGGAAACCGCAAAGGAAGTGTTTTACAAAACAGTAGGCCCTGACACCTAGTGAGGAGCCCTACCCCAATCTGGCCTGTTAGTGTGACTCTGAGTCATTCCCCCAGCTTGTCTGGGATTGATGAGTCCTCTCCAGCTTATGGTGTCATGATTTGGAAGAACCTGTATGGAAGCAGACCCTTCACAGTGGTGCTCCATGGTGCAGTCCAGCACAGGATATAGTGTTGGATGCTGCATGATTCCAGGTTGTAATGTGGTTTCTAGTCTGCTGATAGGGAGCTTAAACTACTCTGTAGATGGATACTCAGCTTAGAAATCCTGGTTTCTATCCTCTAGGGAGAATGAGCTTCCTTTTTCTCTCAAGTTCAGGTTCCTGCTGGGTGTTTGAAAACACAGGCCATAATGCTGAATGTACAAGGTCAGAGAGAGGGAAGACTCACCAGAGCACTCACTGACCTGATGGTGGTGAAGCAGGTTCACAGGCCGCTGGCAGAGTGTGGAACCTACCAGGAGGTTGGCAACAATGTGGGCCGGGGTGCCCATACCTTCTGACTTAAAACATGAAGGCTTGTCTCCTCTTGCTGTCTTGTTACATGCTTTTGCTTTGGATAGAGAGAGGGAAAAAAAGAAAATCAGTCTCCTAACATTTTAAGTATCAGCAACTAGTACATACACTTTTAGGCAAAAGAGATGCCATCATTAACAGGATTCAGCCATAGGCCCCTGACCATTGCCTTTAATATAGACAGAATCCCAGGTCTCCCCAGAGCTGCTAACTTGCCTCTAGTGCCAGGAGGATCTGACATCCCTGGCCTCTTTGAACCAGGCCAGCAAGATGGCTCAGTGGGTAAAGACACATGCTCCAAGCCTGACATTTGATCCCTGGGACCTCGGTGGAAGGAGAGAACTGACTTAACAGTTGTCTGCACACCGGCATGCATACACACACGCAAAGATACGGAGCGCCAGAGTCAGGGCTAAGAGGAAAGATTGCTCAGCCATCCCTTCCCTATGCTGAGTTAGTCCAGCCAGTTTCTGAGGTGGGCAAGACCAAGAGGGAGGCACTGTTTTGCCTTTTGCCCTTTGCTGTCCAGTCCTAAAGACAGGGGCACATTGTTCACTGGCCTTCTAAGCAGACGACCTTTGGGACGGTTGTCAGGACAGTTGAGCTTGGATCAAAATGACGTTGTTGACAGGAATGACTGACTAGCTGATGCTGCCCAGGTGACATGAGCCCTGAGTGAGGTTGCTGACTGGACTTCAGTCAGGGCCTCCTATGTTTGCTCTGTCAGGCTCCCTCATGTGCTCTGGGACGCTGAGCAAAGTAACAGGAGCACAGTGCAGGTTGCAGCCTGCCAGCTTGTTAGTTAACAAAGAAAAGCAGGACTCCCAAGCACAGCAGCTGTTTATACTGGCATGGAAGCAGAACCATAAGGCCTCTTTAGGATGATTGAGAGGGGGCAGAGGTGACAGCCTGCTCAATTTCTCTTCACCCAGACAGACGCTTTAGATGCCACACAGGTAGGACATCGTGAGGCACATGGCAGCTAAGCTTAGAGTTCTGTCTACCTTGTGAAAATAGTAAATCACTTTTTAAAAAAAGATTTATTTGTATTACTTTAATTATGTGTGTACGTGTCTATCTGTATGTGAGTATGGGCATGTTGCGTGCAGGTGTCCAAAGAGGCCAGGGATGTCAGATCCTCCTGGCAGTGGAGGCACCGGAGGCTCTGGGAGCCAAACTGGGGTCCTTGGGAATGGCAGTAAGTGCTCTTAACCACTGAGCCATCCCACCAGTCGTACACCACCTTTTTGTTTCTTCCTAGCAAGTGACAATTCTGGCTTGTTCCCAGCAGTAAAGTACTTTTTCAGCTCCTAGGCATGTTTTGCTTGTGCACTTGAAAAGCTGTGATAAACAAGGCATTGTGTAGTCACTTTGGGCAGAGGTAGTCATAGTGACTCCATAGCAGGCCTCTGAGTCTCAGGCAGATAAAAGTACAAGCAGCCTGGAATCTGGGCTGTGGTTTTAGAGTTCCTTTGTCAGTCCAGGCGATGAGTGACTCAACCACTTAAGGCCTGAGAGCTCACAGGAAATGGAAGGGGACGTGAGAGCCCTCCCCCTGCAGCTGTTTCTCCTTTCTTCCCTTTTCCTGCCTCTGCTACCCCTTTTCCTTCTCTCTCCTCATCCGTGAGACCAGGAGATGTTTTCAATGCATAATGGAAAGAAAAGCAACAGAAACAACGGTGTTCCTTGGCTGCAGACCCAGAAGCACAGATGGTCTTAGATGTCTCGACAGGCACTCATCACTTTGAATATTTATGTGACTAACCTGGAAGAGTGGGCCAGAGTGCTAAAGTGGAAAGAGCCCTGAGCTCAGAGTCAAGGGCTGTAGGGTCTGGCTCCTGCCCCAGCCATGAACTTGACCCAGTAGCCCCTCCTGCAGTCAGAGTGACTGAGCAAAAACTGACTCTTGAAGCAGTAGGTGGTGGGGATGTTGACAGGAAATTTTTTGGAAACACTGGAGAGTCATGTTCCCAGTTCATAGTTGTTTCTGTGGGATAAGTGGTTCCTCTGCATATAGTCCTCTGGTTCCTTTCATTTGCCACACTGACAGAGAGCATGACCTTCATAGAGGGTCATCACTCACTCCCCTTGCTCTTGGCACAATCACAGAAGAGCACATTGGCACACCTCAGGAAAACACTGTATATTGCTGTGTTCCTTTCACAAGCTGATAAGTCCTTCTGCTCGTCTACCCTCACCCATGTTTTCAACAGTTCTGGACACCAAGAGAGGCGGGCAGTTACATCCACACCTCAGCCTAGGCTTGGAGGATGGTAGCAAGGTTGGAAATGTTGCCCAAGGATGCTTCACAATAGTAACAGATGGACAGCTGTGAGTGGTGGGCCAGAAACCTCAGAGCTGGGGTGTCCATACTGAGACAGCCTCTGGGGGCCTGGGACAGACACACTGATGACACAGATAAAAACCCTAAGCCTCGGGGAGAAGCACCTGTCTGCCTTGCTGCACTCTCTGTGGTGCCCCGGGGGAGTGATCCCTCACAGCAGATGAGATCCAGGCTCTCACAGCTACAGTGTCAACTCTTTCCACTTGGGACTGTATCTTTCCAAAGCCACACCCTGCCTCCTCTCTTCTGACTCTCCTGCTCCTGTTCCTCAGCACCTAGTGAGCGAACTTGTCACTGGATTGGTGAGTCTCAACAAAGCTGCACTCTTTAAAAAGGCCAACCGGAGCAGGCTGGCTGGAGAGATGGAACAGAGGTTAAGAGACCTGTAGAGGTCTAGGTTTGTTTCCCAGCACCTACATGGTGGTTTGCAAGCATCTATAACTCAGTTCCAGGGAATTTGACACCCTCTTCTGGACTCTGTGGGTACCAGGCACACACATGGTGCACATACATACATGCAGGCAAACGCTCAACAGGTAAAGTAAATCTTTTTAAAAAAACAAAACAAAACAGCTGGACAGAGGTAGTGCACACCTTTGTCCCCAGCACTCGGGAAGCACAGGCAGGCAGATCTTTTGTGAGTTTGAGGTCAGCCTGGTCTACAGTGTGAGTTCCAAGTCAGCTAGGGCGGCACAGAGAAATCCTGTCTGGGGTTGGGATGGGGGGAAGAAGGATAACATTCTTTAGGTTTTAAAGACCAAGATATTTGACCTGCTTCTCAAACTAAGACTCCATGCTTCTTAGGGGCTGGGAGCCTGTCTTCATCATTCTCTTGCCTATAGGACTAGTGTGGGTTGGGCACAGGTTAGGACTCAGAACATCAGATGGATGAATGCAAGGGTTGGAGTGAGTGAGAACTAAAATTTTGTAAAGTTAAAAGCAGTCCAATTTGGGATGCTCCAAGTGCCTGATAAAAGAGTAAGAGTTATTTAAAAAAAAAAAAAAAAGCCAGGTGGAGATGGGTCAGGCCGAAGTCCGAGGCATCCTTAAAATGGGGAATCTCAGGAGGAAGTGGTTCTTTCAGATAGGTTTGCTCCTAAGCTGTGTGTGATTCCCCACCACAAAGCCGGCTCTGTTGCCCTTTGAAATTCTGGTGCACTTTAAAGCCTTCTCTCATTCGATTAGCAAGGTTCCCATATATGAGATTCCTCTGACCCAACCAGACCTACTTTCTTGAAATGCTGCAGGTGTCTGGGAGGGGACAGACTGTCCAGGCTAGGTTCCGATCTCCTACAATTGGTCCTGAGTAGATGGCAGGCTCAGTGGCACCAACAACTGTCTTACCAAATATAAGCTCTACCAAGCCTAAGGGAAAGTGTCTGATGCTTAGAACAAGCTTGCACCATATATATTAAAGCCCGCAGTGTCCAGACAAGCAAGTAGAAAAGTGCAGGAATCACTGCAGTCTACGAGTGACAGCGTGTGTCCAGATGAGACAGACTAGAGTGTGGGACTGATGTTCTTTCTGACAGATAGAAAAAGTAGGGGAAGGTAGAGGTGGGTAGGAGAGACTGGCCTGAGTCCTTTGTGCTAGCTCCCATGCAAGTCCCTCAGCATCGAGGAGGCTAGGCACACTTAATCCTGACAGGGCTGGGTGACGTTCTTCTCATCCAGGTTTTTCAAACTACTAATGGAAGCCATCAAAAAGAAGAATAGCAAAGCATCAGCCTTCAGAAGTGTGAATAGTAGAAGAGCTACACAGAAGGACCTTGATGACGCGGAGGACTCGGGCAAGAGTCGGGTAAGCACGCGCTAGGGACCCCCTTATGAAGTGCATAGGGCTGATCCTAAGTCTGAGAGGCATGAAGGGCTCCCATAGTCTCTAGGGGAGGTTTCGTGGCGGTTCTCAGCCTCTACAAGATTCTTCTTGGTGCTAGCCCATCTCTCCACATACCCCAGCCTTTCTGCTGCTCTCGGCTAGCAAACTACACTAACTCCCAGGCATGATGGCCCAGGCCAGGGAAGCTGCCGGCAAGCAATATGGTTTGCCCAGCTCTGGATCAGACCTACAGATGTCCATCCCTGATCTCAGGGCTACCTGTAAGAAGTTTCCATCCTAAAGATGGTGCGCCCTGAGCCTTTGAACATTCTTGTTCTGGTCTCGTTTTTTTCTGCATTTAACTTTCCCCAGACCATCAAGGCACTGACTAGAGGGGTGATTTGAAGCAGAGAAGTTGAACCTCAGGGACAAAAAGAGAAGGAGCAGAAAAAACTATTGTTAGCAAAGCAGGAGGGGAGAAGTGGGCAGATAAGGAGCCATGTGGGGGTCACTAAGGCCAGGAGCCAGCACCACCTAGGCTGTGAGCTGGCAGTGAGCCTACGTGGGTGGTGTGTCACATGCATTGGGAATTCCCTGCCTGGCTCTGTGCCATCTGTCTCTAGGCACAGCTAGAACGAAGGGGTGGGCTAGATCAGAGAGAGTGCTAGGTCCCTCCTGTCCTGTGGCTCTGCCATTTTACTAACACAAGCACAGATCGTCATAAATTGTATTTAACCATCTGTCCAGTTTTGACTTATCCAGAAAGAGTCTAAGAAACGAGGAATCAAGGCCAGGAAGAAAAAGACAGCTCTTCTTCCTCGTCCCCACTCACAATATTGGAGCAATATTTTTGTTAATTTGTAATGACTTTGGGCTGCTCTCTACCACTAAACTGCATCCCTAGCCCCTTTTAAGAAAATTAAGGGATAAACAAGAGAAGGTCATGAGATCGACATAACAGGAAAGCGGAAGGGGAGACTGTGTAGTGAGCCATAGGAACTGAGGACGAGCCGGGAGGGGAAGGAGGATGGGGAGGGCGAAGTGTGCCAAGAGTGATCAGATACCTCAACAAACCCACCGCTGTGTGTGCTGCCTAAAGGGAATTCCTAAAAGTCTCCTGGTTGGGTGGTGGCGGTGCATGCCTTTAATCCAAGTACTCAGGAGGCAAAGGCAGGGGAATCTCTGAGTTCAAGGCTACCCTGGACCACAGAGTGAATTCCAGGACAGCCAAGGCTACATACAGAAACCTTTTGTCTTGAAAACCCAAAAACCAAAAATCCCCTTAAACATGAAAGACTTCAGGTGCATGAAAAGTGAAGGCTGAAGGGAAAGATGTTTGCAAACCCACGGCTCGATGAGTAAATGCTGGGTGGATGGGCTGGGTAGGTAGTGAGTGGGTAGAGCATGGAAAGGTAGGTAATGGACAGTTGGGAAGGGGCCTAGATTATTAAGGGCCATGGGGGGACAGATGGCTTCAGTGACGACTGGATGGTAGAACTAACCGTGTTTCTCCTTGATCTCAAACCGCAGAGAGAGGAAGAAGGGGATGAAGAAGAGGAGGGGAACATTGTGGATGCTGAAGCCGAGGAGGGGGATGCAGATGCTTCTGACACCAAACGCAAGGAGAAGCAAGAGGAAGAGGTAAGGGTCCTGGCTCAGGGCAGGGGCTGTGCTCACACCTACAGGCCGTGCCTGCCCATGCTTGGACCCCACCAGAAGTCTGAAGTGAGCAGACAAGACTTTGCTTGGAATCTGGCTAACTTTGAATATGAGTCCAACTCATGGGCCCAGAGGAGACTGACAAGGATCAGAGTGTCTCCTGTTTGTCCAGTGAGAAGATGAGCTCTCTCTTTCCCCAAGCCAACCCCTATGTATAACCTCTCTAAGGACAGAGAGAAGATTGGGGGGAGAGGGGTCTGTAAGGGAGAAAGCTCAGTAAGAGGGTGAACCAGGGAAGCATTGTGACAAGCAGGCTGCCCCTGAGGGGGCACATCAGGACTGAGGGGTGGCCAAGAAAGGTAGATGGAGGAGGGTGAGCAAGCCAGAGCAGAGAAGCTACTACTGTGGGCCAGCGGGGTACAGCGCTTGTTCAGTAGGCAAAGTCCAGGTGACCAGAGCCTCACTGCCTGCCTGCCCGCATCTCACTTCCTGCCAGGTCGACTATGAGAGTGAGGAAGAAGGGGAGGAGGAGGCAGACGAGGAGGATGTACAGGAGGAAGAGAACATTGATGGTGAAGGTGCCCACCAGGCCCACGAGCCGGGTGAGGAAGAGGGCTCCGCCCTGGAGGAGGAGGCATCCCAGAACCCTGCCCGCCGGCACTCCAGGAGCCAGGGAGCCGAGGCGGTGGAACGCCGGGTCCAGGCTGTACGGGACGCCCACTCGTTCATTGAGGACTACCAGTATGACACAGAGGAGAGCCTGTGGTGCCAGGTCAGTCTACACAGCTGGGCCAGGGGCTTATGTCCAGCATGACCCTCAAGTAGAAGCATACTGTCAAGCCCTCAAGCTGCTTTTCCTGCATGAATATCTCCTGAAGAACCTCTCTCCTTTTTTTTTTTAATATTTTATGTGTATGAGTGTTTGCCTTGGAGGACGGCTACACAGCACGTGTGCAATGCCCTTGGAGGCCAGACGAGAGCATCAGATCCCCTGAAAACCATGTGGGTGCTGGAAATTAAACCCTGATTCTGTGGGAGAACAATCAGTGTTATTAGCCAGTGAGCCATTTCTCCAGCACCCCCAAAAGTTTCTCTATATGACTGGAGACACTGTGCTTACCCATCCCACTTTCGAACCCCTAGTGTCAGAAGCAATGTGTATAAGCATCAGCTGCAGGCCTGGTAGATGTAGCCACATCATTTAATCTCTGAACACAAACAGATCACCATTCATCACAGGTTTGGCAGCCTCCTTCCTGCCAGGAGATAGTACGCCCTCAGTTCTGCCTGTCCCAAAATGTCTCCTGACCCCCTCCTGAGGATTTCATGATTCAGGGTGGTTCAATGCTTTGATATCAGCATAGACATACTCCTTGTCTTCTCTTTTGTCAAACTCCATGGTTCCCAAGTGGTAGCTTAGATAACAGAACTTGCTGTTGGGACCCGAAGCCCAGTGCAACAGGCACTGCATTGTGGCCATTGAAAGAACAGGCGGTGGAGTGGGCTTGAGTCTCAGTGTCCTCACTGACATCTGTGACTGTTTCCATCTTCAATTTGGGTCAGTTAAACCACCCAATATTCAGTCCTGCCAGCTTCTACAGCAGGACCCCTCTCCTCAGCCAGGAGACTTCTGAGCAGGCTTCAAAGGCTACTCAGAGTGGGCCTGAAGGCTCCTGCCCTATTCACAGAGCTAGGGGCAATGTCTTCTCTGGCCCAGCTCTTTTTCTCTCATAGGTGACTCTGAAGCTCCCACTGATGAAGATTCATTTTGACATGAGCTCCTTGATTGTGTCCTTGGCCCACAATGCCGTTGTCTATACAACCAAGGGCATCACTCGGTGCCTTCTGAATGAAACGACCAACAGTAAGAATGAAAAGGAGCTTGTGCTGAGCACAGAGGGAATCAACCTCCCCGAGATGTTTAAGTACTCCGAGGTATGTGATCCCTGCAGACTGGTTGCTGGTCTGTGACATATCCTTGGCCCTGATCTCGTGTTCTTTTGGGAACCAGGCACTGGGAGTTGAGCTCCCAGTCAACTGACTGGACCCTACTGAGGCATGTGTGCTACACTGTGGTCCCCAAATTGAGTGTGCACGCTCGTCCATGACCCAGGAGCTCCCAGTGCCTGTTAGGTTTGCAGTATAGAAACCTGCTCACCATCAGCCCAGGCTTTCTCAGAGCCATTTGATAACCCTCTCTGTGTTGTTTTGTTTCTTCTTGACATGAAGTCCTTCTCAAAATAGAGTTAAGAAACACTGCTGCATTGCTGCCTGAGCACTGCTCGTTTTATCGGTAAAGGTAGCTGCGGCCCAACCCAGAGCTCCCTGCATGGAGCTGAAGGAGGCCCGGTGCTCCCATCCCTCCTCACCCCTTTTCTCTCAGATGCTTCAGCCACAGGGCGTAAGAGCTTCCCCTCCAGACTACCGAGGAGCTTGGGGCCACTCTGGCCCTTTGTCCCCTAACCGATATTGCAGTGTCCACGATCCTAGGCTGCTTGAGCTTCTGCTACCAGCAGTGATGCTCTAGGACTTTTTACCAAGAGCTTGCCCAGGGCACGAGCAGGAAGCAGTCTGCACCTCCTGAGGATGCCCGATGTGACTTACATTCACTTGGGGTTTGTTTCAGTGCTCCGTCAGACAGCCTTTCTCTGTCTCCTATGGAATGTGGCTGGTAGTGGGGCAGAGCCACTGAGAGCTCCGATGGCTCAGTTGGAGCCTCAGGCCTCTATGAGGCCCAGCCCTGGGCACCCTAGAGAGGTGTCTGAGGGTCTCTGCTGAGGGACCTCTCCTCACCTCCCAAGCACCCATCCCAGTAAACAGATCTTTGTTAAAAGAATAATAATGAACAACAACAACAAAATGTTTCCCACTGAATCTAAAATGTGTCCTGAGTAGTCTTTCACACTGGTCACAACCACGAGACAGCCTAGGCCCAAGCTGTGTGCAGCAACAGGTCTGCCAGCAGAAGAGAGCTGGCAAAGGGACACTTACGCCAGTCTCTCCTTCCCTTGCCCAGGTGCTGGACCTGCGCCGCCTCTACTCCAACGACATCCACGCCATGGCCAACACTTATGGCATTGAGGCCGCCCTGCGGGTTATTGAGAAGGAGATTAAGGATGTGTTTGCTGTGTATGGTAAGCAGAGCATGGCAGAATACCTGGCCTAGTCAGAGCACCCAATGGCCATGGCAAGAAAACAGAGCCAACCCTGCATGTTGGTAGGAACAGAAGCCTCATTATAAAGTGGACAGGGACTATAGTTGCTTGAGAATCCTCATGACGGAGTGTGGAGGATGGTAGCTTTGACTCTTGAAGCTACTCAGTGGTGTCCCAGTCACTGATGCCTTTGTGAAGTTCACGGTTGGTGGCTTGGCCCTTCAAGGTAGAAACCGCACAGTTAGACCGATTCTTGTTTCCTGTGCTGCTGGGTGGACATGATGCACAAGATGGAGGCAATCCAGGCTGTGTCAGGTGATGCTTCCAACTGTTTGTCTTGTCACTGCTTAACCCCCCCCCCCCCCATATCTGCCCCCATGACAGGCATTGCAGTTGATCCTCGCCATCTCTCTCTGGTCGCTGATTATATGTGCTTTGAGGGTGTTTATAAGCCACTCAATCGCTTTGGGATCCAGTCGAGTTCCTCCCCTTTGCAGCAGATGACATTTGAAACCAGCTTCCAGTTTCTCAAACAGGCCACCATGATGGGTGAGTGTGGGCAGTGACTTAGGCCTTCCCTGGGCAAATGAACTTGTCCCAAGCATGTCTTTCCCCTACACCTTGCATGCAATGCTATTTGGAATCAGAAGTGGACAGGCAGTAAAGGTCTGCATTCTGATAGAATAACGAGGGGAGCGTCTCCTCTTCCGAACTTGGGTACAGTGCCACTTGTGAGTGTGCAGAGCCCCTGGGGCACCCACTACACGACCTCAGCATTGAGCCCTCAGTCCCCTGACACAAGCTCTTCTGTCTTTCACAGGATCCCATGATGAGCTGAAGTCACCCTCAGCCTGTCTCGTGGTGGGGAAAGTCGTCAAAGGCGGGACAGGCCTATTTGAGCTCAAGCAGCCCCTAAGATAGCACCGTAGCCTGGAGGACCTGGGGATGGGCACAGCTGGCAGTTCAGAGTGACACAGCAAAGCAGTGACCTTGGGCTCCGGAAAGCAGCTGGCCTGGGCTAGGCCAACTTCACTTTGCCTTTCCCGTCTCAGAATGAGTGACAAGGCTTCACCTGTGCTCCAGGAGGCCTCAGCCAAATCCCTGACCGATGCCCAAGACATGATGCAGGGAATTCCGCTGTGAGCCAGTGCCGGCGCCAGCACTGCGTCCATTGCTAGTGGCTAAGGAAGCATACTTGAGGGCCCCTGAAGAACCAGAGGGGACACGAAACCTGCCCCCGTGTACCCTTCCCTGCTGCAGCCTCTGGGCCAAAGACAAGAGTGACACAAGGCCCTGGCCCTGCTGCCATTGCTGTGTGACTGTGTGCACTCGAGCCGACTGGCCCCAGCCAGGAACGTCTCTACCTCACACACAGAAAGCCCCAAGTTCCCACTCGGCATTCAGTAAGTAGCCCGACCTTCCTGCCTCTGCTCCCAGCTTGATGGCAGACCACAGTTACCACAGGCCCTGCCCTGTGGGGTCTTGAAGGCGCGCAGTAAGGTGCCCTGACTTAGACAGGGAGGGCAGAGGCTTTGTTGGGCGCTGCCGCTTCTATCTGTGCTCACTGTTGTTCCAGCGTGGACTGAGTAATAAATGTGGCCAGGACTGGCTGTTGGGAGAGAATCAAGACTTGGGTTTTTAATCTCTTCCCTTCATTTGTGGTTTCTGCATCTGGTAATTGGGATTTTCTTGGCACAGTCAGAGTTCAGACGCTTCTTCCTGCTTTTATCTAGCAATGTAGGGGCAGATCTCACTCCCCACCCACAGTCTTCATCTCTGACCCCTGCCCATGGCTGGAAGCACAGAACGGAAGCCTGTGGGAAGAATTTGTGTCAACCTTTGTAGGAGAGAGGGCTGCTCTGGCCTCAAGGGTGAGCTGGGCTAAAGTTAGGCCTTGCCAAGAGAGAGTCTGCAGCCTCCTCCAGGCTCATGATGGGACCCAGCCTGTTCCTCCTGTGCACACCCAAGAAAGCCGGCGCCTTGTGACAGACGGCAGGACACAGAAGAATGTCACCGGGAGGCAGGCATACAGGAAGAGTCCCTGGAAAACCGTGCCCTGAGGATGCAGCCTGCAGGATAAGGCATTCATTCTTCTGGTAAAAGGGCAAGCTCATTACTGAGTTTCTACTCAGCAGAATGGTGAGAAGACGTCCCAGGGAGCACCAAGGTAGTAGAGTAGCTGTGGCATCTAGAGAATAAATGGTATGTGGTTTCATGGAGTCACCCTCACATGGAACTGAAGTGCGTGGAGCTAAAGGAGCAAACCCTGACTGTAAAAGCATGACTGGGGATGACCACGCTTATGCCTGACCTGTGACCTGTACAGGAGCCTAAGGTGATAGCATCTACCCACCCACACGGCTGTTTGATCCCCACTTAATTCATCTTTGTCACATTTAGCTTCGGCCTACTGTGACTCTTTTGAAAAGTCAAAACCGCGTCAGAAAAAGAACATTTGCAATCCTGAGAATACTCCCAAGACTGTTGCCATAAGCTGCCAGGGAGAGCAACCTCAAAAGGTTCTGAACAGAGAAACACCAAAACAAACAAGTGATCCTGTAAAACAATCCAGTGAGAGAGGTGAGCAGTCTGCAGACGTGAGAAACCAAGTGTGCTCGTTTCTGCTCATCTGCTTAGGAGTGGAGTCACATTTCCTCTCAGTGCTTAAGACAGCCAGGACTGCTCGTGCTAGGCTCAAACTCTGTCTCCAGCACCAGGGGAACATTTTAGAAGACTGCCCACCCCAAGATTAGGATAGAATGGTCTTGGGTACAACCTGGATGTGGGAAGAGCTTCAGAAAATATACAGCAAGAGTTGAAAATCACAGGCTTAGTTAACCCCCACTACTATAACTTAAAGCTAACTAACTTCACTTAAGTGTGAGATGAGTCTCCGAAGTAAGTCACTAGCCCTAGGTCCTACAGCGAGCTCTAAATAGCTGATGTCTCCTGGTTGTGTCTGCAAGAATTGTAAAGGGGGCTTAAAGGAAGCTGTAGTGATCCAACACGCACACAGCTTGGCAGAAGATAGGTGTGATTCTCTGCAGGAAGCTTCTGAGGGCAACACATTAGAGAAACTGCATGTTCACCTTTCAAAGTTCCTGCCAGGGGGACATCAACAGGACCAAACGGAGGGGATGCTTGACCAGCCAGTATTTCCTCTGAAGCAGTTCCATGGGAAATTTCCATCAAAAGTTTGGCTTGATGATGACACACACCTGTAATCCCAGCACTTGGGAAGCTGAGGCAGGAGGGTCTCAAGTTCCAAGTCCTCCTGGTCTACATGTGGATTCAAGACCATCTTGACCTACATAGCAAGATCCTGTCCAAAAAAAAAAAAAAAAAAAACAAGGGCTGGAGGTGCAGCTGGGTGGGAGAGTACCCTTGCAAGGGCCTGGGCCGGCCCCAACACAGCACATTAGAAACTTAGACCCTAGCCGGGCGTTGGTGGCGCACGCCTTTAATCCCAGCACTCAGGAGGCAGAGGCAGGTGGATCTCTGAGTTCGAGGCCGGGCTGGTCTACAGAATGAGTTCCAGGACAGCCTCCAACCTCCAAAGCAATACCGAAAAACCCTGTCTCAAAAAACCAAAAAAGAAAAAACAAGAAACCTTAGACCCTGAATGTTGAAGAAAAACTGTCCCTCTGGTCCATCAAGTGCCTCTGTACTGTAAATGTAAGGAGGTTGGGTGCAGGTCCTAGGTGTCACTGAAGGCTCTGCAGTGGCTGTACCAAAGCAAGGTGTCAGCAGGGTGCCATGTGCTCAGTGGCACCTGCTCTTGTTTGCCTGCATCTGAAGATGGTACCCAGTGCCCACGCTCCTGGTCTCCTCCCATCCTGCATCCGTCCCACCACAACCTCTGCTTGTGTGAACCATGTGGGCCCTACTCTCATGGAACCAGTAATTTATTGTGCCAAACACATCACCAGGGAGTCCTGCCTCATTACTGGCCAAAGTTTAAGGTACCCAAAAGGCATGGTGATATTCACCGTGCAGTCCCCTAGGTAGGACCCAACTGCTGGCTTTATGGGGAGGAAAGAAGTCACCTGGGCTCTCAGAGGCCAGAAGAGGGGAAAACTATGAGTTCAGTCACCGCTTCTTCACCTCAGTTTCCACTCCCCACACCTCCCCCCACCCATCCTGCTCCAGCCATATGTGCCTCTGTGTCTCCAGGAAGTTTGAGTTTGTGTGTGAGCAAGGCCTGCTGGCCCTGCCTGGCGCTGCGTTCTAGACTGACTGACTGTCCTTTGTGCTCTTGTCACAGGAGCTTAGCCAGTTTGAGAGTCTCAGACACCATAGCCTCAGTGGCCTAAACTGAACACCCTTACTCAGGGTTCTTTTTTATCTGGGTAGGTGGGGGGGTATGATATATGTGTTTGTATGTGTGTGGAGACCAGAGGCCAATGCTGAGTGTCGGTGCTCAGTTGCTTTCTATCTAGTTTATGAGACAGGGTCTCTCAGTAAACCCAGAATTCAAAGGGTGACTACTTTTACATGGGCACTTGGTATCCAAGCTCACGCCCACATGCTTACTGTGACTTCAATGGCAGCCATCTTCCCAGCCCTGCCCCAAGATTTTCACACAGAAACATGAGCCTGACATTCTAGGCATGGGCTTTTGAAAACTCCATGTGTGTCTCTCTCTCTCTCTCTCTCTCTCTCTCTCTCTCTCTCTCTCTCTCTCTCTCTCTCTCTCTCTCTCTCTCTCTCTCTCTCTCTCTCCCTCTCCCTCTCCCTCTCCCTCTCCCTCTCCCTCTCCCTCTCCCTCTCCCTCTCCCTCTCCCTCTCCCTCTCTCTCTCCCTCTCTCTCTCTCTCTCTCACTTATAAACCAAAGGTCAGCCTCAAGTGTTGTTCCTCAGGTGTTGCTCACTTTATTTGTTTGTTCATTTATTTATGGTTTTTCATGATAGTGTCTCTGTGTAACAGGTCTGGCTGTCCTGGAACTCACTTTGTAGACCAGACTGGCCTCAAACTCATAGATCCACCTGCCTCTGCCTCCTGAGTTCTGGGATTAAAAGTATGTGCCACCACTGTCCGGCCACTTTACTTTCTTGAGACAGGTTCCTCACTTGCCTGGAACTTGCTAAGCTGGCTGACCAGGGAGCCCCAGGGGTTCACTTGTCTCTACTTCCCTAGTCCTGGGTTTATAGGAGCACATCACCACACTGGCCCTTTTGCCTGGTTCCCATGGGTCCTCAAGATTGCATGGCAAGCACTTTACCAACTGAGCCAGCTCCTCAGCCCCTCCTTCACTACCTATTGGTTTTATTTTGGTGTGTTTCTGTTTGTCTATTTTAAGGAATTATTTGTTGTATGTAAAAATAGCTTTTTATAACCTGCCTTAAATACTCTCGCCCACATCATTAAATGAGGAAATAAAATAGGTGAAGAAACTGGTGCAGAGTTGAAGCTGGCAAAACCTTCCCTAAGGTCAGCTCTGTGCCTGTAGTCCCTGCTATTTGGGTGGCTGAAGTTGGAGATTTGAGACCAGTCTGGACAGTGCAGTAAAATGCTGGCTCCCCTAACAGGTCACTTAATGTGGCTGGAGCATTTTCTGACATACATTAATTAAATAAAAAGCAAATGTAGGTGACTATCGCAAGAGTCACCTTTATCCTTAGCCACCTCACCCAGTCCTCGCATCAGCCTGGTAAGGGGGTGTGACTCCTTCCCTCGGCTTACATCCATTTGCTCAAGGACACAGTCAGCAAGCATGTGGTAGATGGAGGACTGAAGCCAGGCTACAGGCCCAGAGACAGCCTCATCTCCTTCCTGTATCCAGCCCCTCTGTTCAGAAGAAGGTCGCTATCATGCAAGGACTGCCCTTCACAAAATACGGATCCGGAGCACCCCTTGGTTGTATCTGTGGGGAGGGGGGCACTCAATCTCCCTGTGGATTTCCAAGTTAGGCTCCAAGTCACAGAAAGGCAGACTTGGAAGTTTGACAAAAATATCAAGACCTGAGTTCTTGGTTCCTCAAAGGAATCTGCAACCCTGTGGCATAACTACGAAGGGAACCTAGTGGGTGGTCTATTGCAATTATGCAGGCCATCTGTGGTGCCATGTGATCAAATCCATGGCTTGCTTCCTATTGGCTGCTTAACAGAGATCTACTTAGAGAAAGTGAAAATGTCACTGGCACACATCTTAAGACCCAGTGCTGATGTCCTTGCCTAGCCACCTCCTGATGCAATCCTCTAGTAATGGCTGGAGCAGGTGACCAACTGATGTCAGGTGCCAGAGTCTCCAGTGCTCCAGGCTTTCTGCCTGCTTCTACTTGGCACGTTAGCCAGACTAACTCCTCACACAGCACCCTGCCATCTGAGGTCCACTGACCAGCTTGGCCCTGGCGTGTCCTGCTCTACACTTGCAGACTGGCTCCACCAGGCACCGGTTCTGTCCCAGTTTGTTTTCTGTTGGCTGTAATAAAACATGGCCAAAAGCAATGTGGAGAGGAAAGGGTTTTATTTGGTTCTAATCACAGTCCATCATTGAGGAAAGTCAAGGCAGGAACCGAAGCAGAGCATGGAGGAATGCTATCTCCCGGCTTGATCTCCAGGCTCACTTTCTTAAACCTCCCAGGATCGCCTGCTCTGGGACAGTACTACTCACAGTGGGCTGG